ATTGTCTAGAGCTCTGACGTGTGCTCTCTCTCTCTCTCTCTCACTCTCTCTCTCTCTCTCTCGCTCTCTATCTCTCTCTCTCTCTCTCTCTCTCTCTCTCTCTCTCTCTCTCTCTCTCTCTCTCTCTCTCTCTCTCTCTCTCTCTCACTGTGTAGCACCTTCAGGCCCAACTGCACACTGACTGCTCCTCACAGTAGCCACTATATGAAAAGAGGAACACATATATTTAAGTGAGAAGGATACATCGATTCAAGTAAGAAGGATAGAGTTGGGTGCGCCGTCAAAAGTGTGCAGGCGCAGAGAGGCGCCTCGCTCATTGTAAAAGCGTAGAAGACACCACTGCTGGCTGTGTTTTCCCTGCGTTCACCTACGACCTACTTGCCGCCAAGGCTTGCCCATTATAGCAGGCCGAGTTGGCGGGGGCTGCGCCGTGTCTTACACCGTCTCGGCGCTCCGGAAATTGTGGGTGCTCTGACAGCCTATCTGTAAACACCCTGGTGGGCGGACGGACGAGCGTGGGCTTCAAATCACTCTTCCCGAATCAAACCCTGTTTCTCAAAGTCAGGATAGTCGTTCTTACGGCTACACATGACTCTTGGAGGGGCCCCTAGGGCCTTGCGGGCCTCTGCCTCTTCCTTTGGAGACGCGAATTGTGCTAGGACGGCGCACAGCAGCGGGGAGGATACGACGTGCAGCTTGCGGGCTGTGCGCTTCTCAGCCAGCTCGTACTGATAGAGCGCGGGTGCGATGGTTTCTTTGTTTCTGTAGGGTCGCATCAAATCCACACGGGAACCGAAGCCCATTGCGCTCTGCTCGTGGAGCCCAGTGTGCAGGGCCCCTCGGGTGTATCCTTTCTTTACAAGAAACTTCACACGGTACAGAGAGCAGTTCTAGGCGCAGGGGCATGTGCATATATCTATATATATATATATATATATATATATTTATATAGTGTTAAGCATGTAGGGGATTGGGACGCCCGAGGAGGAAGGTGGCATGTAGAGCAAAGCGACGTACGCGCGCTCAAAGAAATTCCATGCCCAGAGTTTTCCGTCTGCCGACAGTACCACGGCTTCCCACCAACCAACCCCGACGCTAAGCACAGAGGCACTTAGGCCTGCCCGAATCAAATCTACTGGCATGGGTTCGAAGGTCTGCGCCTTGATGCAAACCTGCGCACACAGAAAACGTCCATAGACGCCAGAGGCAAACATCCCCTGCGCTTGCGTGCGGCGCCGCAAGAAAGCGGGGGAAAAGCATACCCCCTGCAAGCCAGTCAGGGTGTACATACGAAACACCACCATGGCGAAACGTCAGCGCGCTGATCTCATTCACGTCTAGACGCACCTCCTCCACCTCATCCCAAAGAAGGAAGGTTCCCCACTGGAAGACTTCCCCCGACGTATTGAGCGCGACGGTCATATTCGAACCGACGCTCAATTGCTGGACATGACCTGGAATGCTGACTCGTTGGGGAATCCTTTCACTCCTAGAATTCTTTCCAAGGCCCAGTTGGCCGTTAGGGGCTCGCCCAAAGCTTTTCAGCGTACCATCCATGAAGATCAGAAACGTCATTCCAAGGCCGCAGTGGACGGATATGGGCAGGGGGCCTTCACACAACTCGGGCAGCGAAATCCAAAGAGGCTGCAAGGCAACCCACAGACAGCAGCGTTCCACACGCAGTCAGGCTGCCGCGCGCAGGCTTCCTCGATGCCAGAATAAATAATCGTGGCCGCACACAGAAAGTCGCAGGCTTCCTCAATGCCAGAATAAATAATCGTGGCCGAACACAGAAAGACGCAGGCTTCCCTGCACGCCCCAGCCTCACGACTGCCTCTGACCCCCTTAGATTTATCGGCAGACCTGCCCCCATTCATTTGAGCGATTGACTGCGCTTGGACTCTGCTTTGTAAACACCTAAATGGGGAGAGGAGAGGGTCCTTTTTAATCTTTTATCCTCGAACAACATGCACCTAGTGTCTCTACGCTGGACGGGCATAAAGGTTTCTTTTCTACCTGTACAGCACCATGGGTCGCTTACCAGCGGGACGTCGCTGATCACTCCTTTAATGAAAATATGATCACCTCGGCCCCACATGTAGATTCTCCCCATTTCGTCCAGAGCAGCATTGTGGTAGCCGCCAACGCTACGCGACACAACGCAGAACTCCAGGATACACACGAGTTTAGAGGTCCCGCTTCAGTCTTCTGCAAAAGCAATCACTTCTGGTATCTCCGTTCAACAAAGTTCTAGCCAGCAACCAAGGCACGGCTTGCGTCAGTGCATTATCCATGCTAGACACGGCGTAGACTATTTAGACGACCGCTTCGCGTTTGTGTGCGGGAAGAGGCTACCGCAAATGTTTCAGCCCAAGGTTCCCAGTGCTGCATGGCCCTTGAAGGTCTGCCCAAGTCGCTTCAACACTACGACAAATTTCGCATCCTCGCGAAGTTCAGGTACCTGAGTGTCTCTATACGGGCTCCCTCCTTGAGCTCTCGGGGATGCTGGAATCGCAGCCGTGTTGGCCGAGGCACCACAGCCTTTCGCGGAGCGCATCCACACTGTCCACTGCACAGACACAGAGCACATGCACGATGCCTCCTGCGTCTAATCATGTGCAAAATAAGAGCATTCGAGCATGCTCGCACTGACCCACGACGCACACCGTTTTTCTGCCTAGCGACGTGAAACAAACGTCAGCTTTCACGTTCAAACGTCTGTGTGGTCAGCTCTGTGCTCACTATTTGTTTGAACCCCAGGCGAACACACTGCCTTGCTCCGTTAAGAGCACAGAGTGATCAACCCCGCAGAAAACCTCCTGCACGCGAAGGGGCTGCATGAGGCCCCGAATGGGGTGCCTTGGGAGGGGCACTCCCGCCCCCTCCTCAGGACACCCCAACTGCATCCGATCGTTCAAGCCGTATGAATACACAAAGCCAGCACCCGATACCAACACGGTATGGAAGGCGCCAACGGCAATGTGTGAAAGAGAAGCCTCGCCGTTGAAAGCGAGCAAACGCCGAATGCCTTCAGCCCACTCTGAATTAACGCACACCAACCGCTAGCAGGCCGGATCCAATGCCCCTATCGAACTATCATATTACGGCTTTTTCCTTGCTCAAGAACGATTTCACGTGTTTAACACAGATGCTTTGGGTGTAGCAATTTGTCTGGAATCCGCGCGCTTAGCTGCGCAGATTCTCCCGCCTTTGGGATACACTTTTGAGCAGGCACCTCGGCACATGAGCCCAAGGCGTACTCCTGCCGTTTGTAGTGTGCTTACCAGTCGGATACACCTCCGCCCCTTCAATACTCGCCGTAACATGCACGAGCTGCAGGCCAATGCTGCATAGGCCAAGGCGCTCCTTTACCTGTACATAATGCCAAAGAAAACCGGTGATTCGCCAGAGGTACATTGCATTCGCATGCAAGCCGCAGAGCTCTCCAGGGCGCACCGGTTTAACTGACTAAATAAGGCTCACATTCATCAGTTCCATGGCCACTGCACACTCCCGAAGTGTCTTCCTGTCTGCAAGGACCTGAGGCACCGCATCAACAGCCGTGAAACGCAGCATTTTTCTTGATGCCCTTTCCTGAGGGCAGCATGACGGGAGGATGTTGACGATACAGCAAAAACACTTTTGCGGTCGGCTGCTGTGGCAAATGAGAAAAAGACACGGGACGTTTGTACCATTAATCTAAGCGCTTCCGAATGCATCCTTTGAGCGCACCTTTTCTCGTGACAAAATACACTTAAGCTTTTCTTCCTGTAGAATGCGGCGCACTCTATTTCCTCGCCACCAAGCTTGGATTCGCACGATTGCTTCATGTGCGCGCGAGACATGGAGTCGCAACAGCTTAGGCAGCAGGAATCTGATGCAAATGCAAGCATTAAGGCCGCGGATTATGAGTAAGACAATAAGCTCAACCCACAAAAAAGACTTCATTACCGCCTTTTAGAATACCTCAGGCCACATTCAGAGGACTTGCCAACTGAGTAGTCACCTCTGTTTCACCAAAGTACAAGACCAAGAATTTCAGCTAAGCCAAACACCAATTCGTGTCCCTCCGTGCAAGCCCCAGCAGTGACGCCATCTGCCACAGTATGATCCATTTGCCAACTTTCTGAACTCTTTCATCTACCAGCCAGCATACCCCGCACGACCTACTTTTGCATTGTGTAAGCAGCCTGTGTGACATGCTGCAATCGTTGGAGCACCAAGAAGGTCCTGGCAGCGTTTTGGATAACAAGCCGAGCCTGGTCCTCACGGATTCCAGTATTGACTTTATCGAGGCTGGGAGCAGGCACAAGCAGTCCAACAGGCAAAGGCATACGGAGTGAGAAGGAGTGGTATCGAGCTGTACTGCCCGGGCCGCAGCATGCAACCAGCTGCAAAGTAGGTAAGGTGCACATCGCAGGTCCTGAGAAGTTTCTTACATTTTCGCATGCTTCGCGTAAAATGCGCCGTGCCGAACGCGATAACCCTTCCAGTGGCGCTGCAGGATGCACCAGCACAGCACCAAAGACGAGACTGCTAACCAGTCCGGCATCAGGTGGAGACACATTGGGTACATCCCTTCATGTGCAATGGTTGCTTCCGTCGCTCTACAGGTGCAAGCCTTCAGAAAGTCAGTCATGCACTTTCCGTTTTGAAGCTACAGCACATCTGTGAGCCTACCTGAATCACTATTGCATACGGTGTCAAATACTTCATCAATGCAAGCCTTAAGCGAGACACATATCCCCTCCATGCTGCCTGGATCTTCGTAGCAAACGCGTTGATTCTCCTTTGTTCCTTAAGTTCCGCCAAGGTGCGCTTTGCGCGCACGATTTTCAGGAGGCCCTGAATCACTCTCGCTGCATGGTCTTCCTTGCGACGGTGCGCAGTCCGTTTCCATCGCAAACCGGTCACTCCCGCATATGTAATCTGGGGCCATAAGCACAGCGAACATTCATGCATGTTGCCTATGCTGCGTAAACCACCTTCATTAGCACTACGCAAAAGAAAGGGACCATTGCAGCTCCCAGAGATCGGCTTCTGATGCAAAGCGACAAGGGATGCAAAGCACCAGGGGAAAAGACAGGCACGGCAACGAAAACACATGCGCAGCGCCAACATCAAAAGATCTAAAGGTACAGTAAACGCATGATGTCAATACATAAATACGTGTGATTAGCGCAGCATGCCGATAATTGGCCTAAAGACAAACCCGGCGCGCTTGGTCAAGAAGTCTTCCCATCTTCGCCCTCCGAGTAATTGCTGCCGTTCTGCAGCCGAAAATGCAATAGCTCGCAAGTGGATAGTGCGGTAATGAATACTACTCTTAGAAATCTGGATCCGTTGGTTGCCACTGCGTAGTGTTTTCAGTGACGCGCAAAAACTACTCTTCGTCACAAAGAATTGGCGCACTCTTGCCCGTGCTGGCTGAAGTACGGTACAAAAAGCAATGATTTTTCTGGAATTGAAGCAGAGTGCTGCGCTTACTGCTTGCGAGATCTGTACCCCCTATACACCTTTTGAATCTGAGTTGCCGCCACAACCCTTCTGCTATGCAGCCTGAAAGAAGCCTCACAGACGGAAGTGAAAAGAGGAAAGGATTTACAAATCTTTCCCGCCAGTCCAGCTTCGAAGCAACAACATCACATATTCTTCTGATGTAGAGTTGCTTGGGCTACGTCGCTCACAGACAAAGCTTCATCGTGTAAATTGCCCCAAGGAAAGTCTTGGCCAGTTCTAACTTCTTGAACTGTGTCTTGCGAATGTCATATCGCCTCATGAGAGACTGAATTCTCACGACGCGAGAGGCGAACTGCACATACTGCCTGAAAAAAAACAGTTCAAAGCATACAAGATCAGTCCTGTGATATACCATATCTAGGGCAAAACTTGTGCACTCTCCCCTACCATCCAATAACTTGTGCGCAAGCGCGCTATCATGGCTCATTTACATCACAGTATACCCGCCCAGCAAGTTGTAACACTATATGAAGGCGTTACACTCAGAATCGCAAATCTACATCATGTTGAGGGAGATGCGTACGACCGGGCTTTGCTCGCTCTGTAAATCGACTGGAGCCTGATAATCAGCGGCTTAAGATTGGCCATAACAGTCCTGAAATACTGGTCGATGACAAGCCACCCGGCCTTGCGTAGAAACACCTTTGAGCTACCAAGCTGATACTCCTGCTTCGGAACACCTAGCCTCTCCAGCATAGTCGTTGTAGCAGTCTTATCGTCTCCCCCTTCCTGCGCAAGTGTCGAATCCCATGGCACCCTGCGTTTCAAGCCCCCAGATGGTCACCTCATGCGGCGACCTGCCTCACAAGACCGAACACTGGGCAACGAAGCTAAAGTTGAGCTGGCCTTCTAAGGCGCACTGATTTAAAGCAGCCACAGCTTACCAATTTGGCCCCAAGGACCCGCAGAAGAATGCTGTTGTCATTAACAAAGTCGGCGAAGGAGGCGCGGTAGGCAAAGCCTCTGTGGATGATCCCTACAGCCTCCAACACTGACAAACTAATGAGCTGCCCAAGAGTGCTTTCCGTTTCAAATACTTGGGGCTTCTTCACCTGATTGGGCTTTATGCACCTATAAAGAAAGACAAAAGGTGTGAGCCACAGCTTCATGCTAAAGCTCTGGTGGTGATCAAGGCATACCAGAAGCCCCACAATTGCGCATAATGAAATCTCGCATTGCTTCACTGTGCACTTCAAATTCAACTTTTCTAATACTTTGTTCGGTATAAACCTGTTGAGCGCATAGGTAAGGCCCCAGATGCCTTCTTCATTATTTTTGTGGTTGAAAACTTCGTTTGCTGCCCTGCGACTTCTGAAATCCATGTAATTGTCAGCACATTAAAAATCTGCAGCCTGGGAATAAGTACCTGCAAAAGTGGGCCCGGGATGACTTTAAAGTGTTCATTAGGTTGTTCATCGATTTCTGGAACTTGGATCCGACAAATTTGCCCTTCATGTTTTTTGAATCTGGAATTTCTACATTCACAAATGCCTTCTTCATGGCCAAGTTGGTTGCTGCCTTAAATACAGCAATAAGCTCATTCGGAAGCCTGAGGAAAGGTTCAGCAGCTCCACGCACTAGTTAACCCCCGCGCCATACACGCATTTGGTACAATGGCCAAAAATATAATATGACGCAAATAGGCGTGTATACGAATACACTGCTTCTGCTTCTTCACTACAGACTTACCGCATTTTGTTCTTAGGAACAAACTCGGTTGCCGTGTAGAGCACAGGAGCAGCAGTGTGGATGATGCGAAAGGTAATCCTAGAATCTCCCTTGGGAATTTCGTAGTTGGGGTTCTTTATGCTTTTGTGACATGCAGCGGTGAAGGATTCACTTGAGCCTACCATGTAACAGCCAACAGCTATCAGTACTCAAAGTTAGAGCCTCGCGAATCCCCCGACATGTGGACACCCCTCAATTTGACGATGCAACAAGCAACAAAGCGCTTGTTTATCACGCTGTACAGCCCTCAGAATGAGCGCTACAGTTATTTCTCTTTTACTCCAAAGCTAGCAATGAAGAGCTGCGAGGGTGGTCTGTAGGAGCAACCAGAGATTTCTAGACTACATTACCAGTATCAAGTGGATCAGGTGGCCTTACCAGTTTGAATTAGGCACTGTTCCTCCAAGAAACCAAAGATACCAGCCTTGGGCTTATCGAAAACCTCTAGCACAGATGCGTTGTCCGAATACACAATCATGGAGTGGTCAATTCCTTCAGCTTCGTATTCAGCTTTCTGAGTCATCATAAATGAATTGAAGAGAGCTCTCACCCCATGAGCAAACAACCTTGGGTATAGTGAATATTCTGCCGAAATTGGCTTTTAAGGTAGTAAGGCAAATTAGCATACTCATTTACTCCCGAGTCTGTTGAACCTTCTTATTATTTTGAGGGTCCTATTTACCTCTGCCTGGAATACTTGCTGAATGAAGAACTGCTGGAGCCTCTCATTTGCGTAGTTGATTAGGAACTGTTCGTAGCTATTAAGCTGGAAAAATTCAAAGCCGTAGATATCCAAAATCTACAAACAAGAGGAACGCACATAACGATGGAACGGTAATTCAGGAACTGCGTACAAAATTCGGATGAGAATTTCAGCTTTGCATAGCTTGCTGCAGCAGCATGCATTTTCTAGCGCCTCGCCATTCATATTCTTGCTTTGGTACACCTCCTTTAGCTCTCCACGGCAAGCCTTCACTACTCACTCCAATCCAAACTTTGTTTTCGTGGTCAAACTTGATCTTATCGTTGACAGATTCGACGATAAAATCGAAAAAAACGCTGTAAACCTCCTTCGCCATAGAGCGGCACATTACCGATGCCTGCTCTGCAGAAAGAGGGCTCTTAATGATATTTCCTCGGACTTCCACAACATTTACTGTTATGGCCTTCAACAATTGCAAAAAATACACACAACTGTGGGTAGTACAAGCTATGCCAGGATGTGAATACGTTTCGCCTTGTCCATAACGGAGACAGGATATGATGCTAGAATGTTATTCGCATTCATGAGAATCCAGACTTACCTCAAGCAGTGCCGCCTTGTCAACACCCAGTAGAGAAACAACTTGGTCAAAATCTGTCTCGTCTTGTAACTTCCCCGCTCTAATCGGATAGTAGAACATCGTAATAAGCATAATCTTATACCGGGAAGCCAAAACACATCCCTTACACCATTGGAACTCAAAAACTAGCCATATGAACTCTATGGATCACAGTCAAGCACAATTCTACGCAATGTATTCTAGAATGGGATTACTGCTGCCTTTACAAATTGTTTTCCAAGTAATATTTAAGGCGGCTACCAGACTGCCAACTGCCTCAAGCAAATGCATTTTGTAAAGAAAATGATAAGGACACATTCAACAGATCGGCCAAAAATGGCAGGGCAGACAGAGACACTACAAATGTACAGGTCTGTTGGTTCTAGCCATGCCCAACAGTGTTAGTGTGTCACAGCTCACTTGTCCGTTCCCATCGCCTGTACATTCGTAAACTTGATGTTTCCGCACATTAGGACTGCCGATAAGACTTGGAAATACGCGAGCTGTTCTTCCTTTGTGAAGAGAAGTCTGTGAAGAACATGCATCAGCCGTATAAGAGAGCACGTCCAAGCCGGGAGAAGAGTGGTATGATTGAAGTAGTGCACATATCACACGCAGGTATTTCTGCCACGCAGCACTTACTCAAGCTGCTTCCTAACGTCGGCAAATTCCTTGAGGTCGTTCACAGTTTCTACTTCGTAGCAACCACTTTTATTCAGGAACTCATACTCCTCAAGCCCCTTCAGGCCGCACTGCTTCTTTTCATCAGCCGAAAGACCCTTTATCATTTGGTAAAATATGTGATAATTACGCTCTCCCTGACCCTGGAACTCAATACGTGACAGTTCCAACATATAGTTGTTTATTAATCCGCCGTGAATACCCCCCGTCGGCGCGACTTCCAGCTTCACAAATCGACCGAAGCGCGATGAGTTGTTGTTCCGTAAGGTCCTAAGGAAAACGCACCAAAAAAACGTAAAAATCTGTATTTGATAACAGAAGTAGAAAAGCATGTCTCCTAGAAGTAACTACTACCACCGGGGATTAAGAAAACTGGATATTGTTTCAACCTGCGTTATGCAAGAACATGACTGCCTCACTTTGCGTTTCCTACGGCTTCTAACACAGGATTTGCACCTAAAATAATATCCTGAACTGTTGAGCCTCCAGCACCAGACTTATCACTGGCAAAATACTGCATGAGCTGCCTTGCGGTTTCGGTTTTCCCTGCCCCTGATTCTCCTGAAACAACACAAGACTGGTTTTCTTTGGTCAAACGCATTAAGTCCATTGCACACTGGGCCAATGCGTAAGTGTGAGGAGGAACATCCGTTGGAAATCCTCGGGATGTGTCGCAATTTTGGTATCGGGTAAGTGTTCCTGGCTCATACAAGCCAGGAATTGCCTTGAACGGGTTCATTGCAATCAACAGGCGTCCTGCATAAGTCTGCAAGGAAGACAAGGAATCGCAGATATGCTACCACACGTCTCTCTGGTGCTTCACACAGCCTTACACAACCATGTTAATAGATAAAAATAGTCCCATAGACGCATCAATACGAGAAGTGCGAGTCAATATATATCTCCGTTTTCAAAATTGCTAAACGAGAAAAGGGTCTGTCTGCATACGTAGATCATATCTCTGACGTATCTTTCCTTGATGATCTGCAACGCCGCCGCCTCGTTCGCATGAGGAATCTTGGAGAGATCATTACACGTCTCTGCCGTTATGCCAACATTCGCATTGAGACATTCACTCTGCTCGACAGTTTTTGTTCCCGCTCCTTCAACTTCCACGGTTAATGATGTGCCAGAGATAGCAGTCACTTTAGCCAGAGCATACAGCTCCTCCCTCTCTGGATCCCTTATCCACACCTGAGAGCCAATCAGGTATTCCCCGAGCTGCACTTCTGAGTATTTCCTCTCTATCTTCGGCTTGGGAGCGGGACCCCCAGCCTTCTTCCCAACGGCCTTAGTTGCCATTTTTCCAGATGAGAGGCTTGAAAGGGGGCAGTGTGCTGGAGAGATCGTGCGGAGCTATGCGTTCATCGCATGCCCGCTGCACGGAGCATTTCGAAAGGCCAATTCAAGTCTTCCATGGGGTACAGCACCCGTCTTCATAGCATTTCAGATATATCGCTTGTTCCAATCGCTATGATCAGGCTTAAGCACACAGATTTGGTAGGGGGGAAACAGGAGTCCACCGGTCCCCCAGACGAAATCCGGTGGTCCTTAGGCTCTGGCATGCAACAGCGTGCTCACTGAGGACCACCGAATGCAGGCTGGAGCCACAGCATTCAAAAAACAAAAAAGCCTTCAATTCTTGAGCGACTCTCAGGAGGTAACCAAGCTCGGATGGCAAAAGGGCTTCCCTCCGTGGCCGCTGCCGCCTCTCGCATAAGGATTGAAGGCTAAGTGAACAGGGCTAGCAGCACACAGGATTCTGGGTGCTCGAATTGCAATGGCGATCAACTGTAGGGTATTGTTTATTTATTCACTGCTTGAAGGTACTTTTACACCGAGTTCTGAACTTGAATTGGACATTTAAGTTACACATTGCTTTTCGCTAGCACCGGCTTCCACACAGGCTCGTGGAAAAAGGTGACATAGAGCTGCGAAGCTTCGAGTAACTTCGTCTTCGATTCAATCATTTCCAATAAATATATTTGGCTTGTTTTTTTCGGCTTGAGTTCGGTGGGTCTTTGCATTGTGTCTTGATCGAAAAACCAAGCTCGAACGAAGCAGTCCCACGCTATAACGAGCGTGGGTGTTTCATGGAAACAGTCGGCTTGAGAGTAAGTTTACAAAAAATCCTATAAGATTCATTCCTCTAATTTACATATAATGGGGTACAACTAAGAAAATTGCCTACTTCTAATTGTTGGGGCTGCTTGCGGGCACTCCGTATCTTGGCGAAATAGCGGCAGCTCGCCTTCAAGAACTTGGTCTCAGGTGAAGGCATATTTTGTCATTATCTACGTACCCGAAAGCCAATACACCACTGCATTGTGGTAACGTGCGGACTAATAATAAACAGGCACTCAGTACGTGGTTGTTTGTCCTTTACAAAAACGGCCTCAGTATCGGTACTGGTAATCTGTCTTGTTCATCCTAGAGGAAGACCATAAGACCCCTCATAAGTTTCCGCCAGAATTGTCTAGCTGCAGCGAGTTTATGGATAACTGTGGAATGGTCGCATTGCAACTCACACATCGCGAACGCCCCGATCTATCTGACGCCGTACAATGCTCGCAGAAACAAAATCAAAGGAAGGAGCCGCCCTTCATTGCTGGAAAGCCCATCGCCTTAGATGCTAGGCATCCGGTGCCCATCTGTTCGCTTCGAGGACTCCGCCACAGTCCAGTTGCATACATGCAAGGTCCAGCGCCCCGCGTTGCAGGCCAAGCTGCACTTGTACGAGCACAACTACGATATTCTATTTACTTCGTATTTAATAAGTACAGTATAGTAGTACCCCCGTTCTGCAAAAACAATAAATTTAGAGGAATCGCCAAACCATGGAATACTTACATATCCCGAATGCGCGACAGTACAGCAAGATATTTTGTGTAATTATTCGCGAATGCCATTAGGACTGCAGAGGCTGCAGTTACTTCCCACATGCTGTTGTCTGTTCTTTCATACCGAAATTTCGTGGGTTAGGGGCAAGAAGAGTGGAAGATCTTTGGAATAAAGGCGGGAACAACCTGTTCTTTGGTTTTAATCGTCTTTTAAGGCTGCAGGTATCCCTGTGTTGACCACAGTAGGATCAATGCACTTTCAGATATAGATGCACGCAGAATGGTTACTTGAGCAGATCTTATGTACATGCAACTACGGTTTTTGTGTTCGAAGGAACTGTGAACAACAATTATGCACAAGGAGCCAAGAGTTGAATCCTTGAAGTTGGCTAGACGTGTTATGTCTCTCTGAATGTACGATTCAGCTGATCTCAAAAAGACTAATATCGTCGTTGAAGCACAAAAATCACAGTCTCACGTAGTTGTTTGGGGGGCAGGATTCGAAGTGCAGCTCTGCGTTCCCTATGCAAATCCCATGGCTTCTGCTTGGTCTCTACCACCCAATGCAAAATGGAATGTTCATATTGTGCTGGCTCTTCTAGCTGTTAGTGACGATACTAGTTGTTCTGTGCAGGTGCAAATCATAATTCAGGCATAAAACGGAAGCCAACGGCACAGAATATCTCGAGTTTCCATATGCATACTTCGAGCCAGAAAGAAAACTACAGATCGCTGTTGACCAGTGGTCGAGGAGCGTTGCCGCGGTAACAGGTGATCCTGAGTTGTATAGGCCTGACTCTCATCTGAGAACATAAGAACTTCCTTCTCACCCATTTATGTTGGCTGGCATCCCGTATCCCTAGTGTATCTCACTTTTTGAGTTCTCAGAAGTTAATAGTGAGTGATAACGTGCAAAAGGTCTGTGCAGTTTCAGCGCCGCTACTAACGTCACAGCTAAAAATCCTGTATATACTGTCTGCTCTTTACTCAAAACAATGCTGCTTGCCAATGCCCAGTCCATGGCTTTTTCTACAGGTTCCCAGCATAGATCGTCATACCTGCCTTCAGGCTAACTTGCCAGGAAGTCGATGCATGATCATTTCACATAGAACTATTTGTCTACATCGCTCCATTCTTCTTTGCTGAATTTCTAAGCAGACATCAGCATCTCGTGTTCATGTTTTCACAGCATAACTTCTGAAGGATTGCTTTGCCATTAAAGGGATTCTAGAGCCCCTAGAAGGAGTGTGGAGCTCCAAGAAGAACGCAGAGAGCACCAACTAAAATACCAATTTCCCGTAAACTGCGTTACAGGAACACATCATGTGCTTGTAGTCAAGCAATAGCCAAGAATAATGGAACACTCGGAGCTGGAGAGCCTACCTTTGCCATGCAATTACCCAATACACTTTCAAGGGAGAAAATTGTTGGCAAGCGCTTGTTTCGTATGGCACCCAAGAGCCTCAAATGCCGATACTCTGCGCCGAACATTTTCAAGAACTCAAACATTGTAACTCCAAAAGATAACTCTAGCGCCTAGAAGGCAGCATGCTTGTCACTGCTTCAGTGGGAGCATTCATAGGAAGCGTTGCTACACATCTATACCATCGTAGTGGCAACGAATGTGTTGAGATAAACTTCAGCAAAAAGCCTTATGGGCATCAGACACATTTCATTAAAGGATTTTTTCGGCTCATCGCTTCCCAAGTTGTCTAGAAATGTGCTTGGTGCTGCCCAAGAAATATGATATTCGCAGACAGGCGCATTATTCGTTATCAGCTAACACTCATCTTAGGGCTCGGGTAAGCAAAAAGTGAAAACGTGGAGAGGTCCTCGCCTGACTGTCCATCTCTGTTGCTCTCGGCTCGATGAACCAGTGCTGATTATTTGATGGAATTGGCTGGATTACATGACATGAGTTTGTGCATATGCCAGAGATGGCGTTTTCCATCCGAGAAGCCTTTAGTGAAGGCCTATAAGCTTGGAGACTTCGAGAGGCCACCTGAAAGAGGGCAGCAATTCATTACACAGAGGTCCTAATCGTAGGAAACGCTCAAAAACATGTGCTCGAATTCTTCCAAAAAAGTGGGTTACTCTCACTTAACAAGATATAAAACCCCTCTCACCACTTGGACTCACTGTCATATCTTCTTGCTCGGATTTTTATTCAAAGAACGGCTCATAAGAGGCTGTGGGATTGGGGTTTCGCTTGCTAGCCTCCAATACTTCCCCAGCAAGCTCTCGTCCCTTAGCCATTGTGCCTCTTGTCTCTTGAAGTCTCAGATGTTAGCAGTCAGAGATAATTTATGCACAACGTTTATGCACTAAGGCTTATGCCTCAAGTCCACAAATGCCAGCTTCTCAGCCTCGGCATACGAGCTCGGAACAATTTTTTGCATTTCGACTGTGGCGTGGCAATACTTGCCAACGCGATGTTATGAAGGAGAAGCAATGAACCAGGGACTGGGCAGAATGGGCCTTGCTTGGGTCTCCAGAAGCGTATTTACGATGTTTCGTAGAAACCTGCCACAGCGACACGCTACGTACAACTAGCAATCCTAGACCGTCGCTAATAAGACTTTAGTCTCCGATTACCACCTATTATGGTGTAAAGCTAATGCAAAGGAATTCACTATTCTTATATTGCTTCATTCGCGGCAAAATTACTTATGAGATGTGCAGGGGCCGTAGCGGCCTTGTGTCTTTGGTACCACAGGGAGGCTGTATAAACCAGGATGCCGCCAGGCTGGGCACGTGTTAAGCGAAGCGCTGAATTTTCAGTCGCAGACTCATTGAATCTGAGACTGATAAAGCTCGACACTGAACTCAAACTTGGACTTGAATTGGTCCTTCGAAGTTCGAAAGGGGCAATTACTGTCCTTTGTATGCTCCGCGAGAGCCACAGGAACCGAATTGGCCAGACCCCACAGATAGGCTAGGCCTGGAGCCAGGGCTTATCACTTGCTTGACCTTGTGTTTGTAGAACTGCGGCAAACACATTTCCATGGTATCTTTTGACTTAGCGTAGACTTCTTTTGCTCCAAGGCTTCGCTGTGGCGGAAGCGCCACGCCGCTCGATGCAGCAGCAGCAGCACCAGCAGGACGGCTGCTGTTTACCAGTTAAAGGAGGGTCAAGCGACTGGAATCCTCTTCAAGACAATAGCCACGAGACGCATGCAACGGATATACAAGTGACGCCGTCACGTTTGAACCGTTCCAGATGTTGCTGCCTGCGCGCCTCCCGGGCCTGGGGCACTCCCACGGTTTTCACGGGAGCAGCTGGGGCAGCAGCAAGAAGCACCGTTTCAGCAGCATCAACGTGAGGCGTAATCATGTGTTTGCAGGAATCGTCTTCGTCCTGGGTGTTGCTTTGTTCCTGGAGCTTCCCGTCGCAGCGGCTGAAAATGACCTCGACTTTGTTAGCATGTGGCCACACGCCATAAGGCACTTGAATGAAGCTATTGGGAGGCCCCTTGGTCCCGTACTTAGCCTCAAACAGCCAGAAGCAACTCCGAATCCGGCGGAGCGCTCTTACCGAACGGACAACTCGCCAGGGCAGCAGCCGCTGCCACCCATCCATGCAACGTCAGGCACAGCACAGCAGCAGCTGTACCAACAGCTGACACAAGATCAGCAACGACTGAAACAGCCACAATCGCTGCTGCAGTCCCGGCTGATGGCGTGGCAGAAACCTTCAGGTCAGCAGTCGCATTTGATGCAACCGTTGCAGTTCATCCCACAGAACGACACGCCGCAACGATTTTCAGGTCTGCCACAGCAGGATACAACATCCCTGCGGCTTCGAACAGTTCCGCAGCAGGATACAACGTCGCAAAACTTTCTAGGAGACCCCCAGGCTGAAACATCTCGACAGTTTCTAGCAGACTCGAAGCAGGATGCGTCGTCACAGTCTCCAGGTGTGCAGCAGCAGGACTCTCTGTTGCAGCCAAACCCGCAGCCGCAGCAGCAAAAAAGGCGGCATTCTCAGTCTTGGCAAACATATCCCCCGCAGAGACACTCATTTGCCTCCGTTTTCGCGTGCGAGGAGAAAGCCCGGATTGCAGCAGAAGCAGAGGGTGTCATGCGTCAGATACGTCAGATTCGGAATTCCGTTAGAGACTTCGTGGCGGCTCTGAATAAGAAGGTCGCCGTGCGCGCGCCGACAGAGCGCGAGGAGTTGGAGCAGCAGGAGCGGGGGCAGGTGCTGACGCCACAGTTGGCCGAGGCGTGGGAGGCGTGGGAAGCGCATGAGTGCTTGCAGCCGTATGCCTTCGCTGCCTCTTTGCTGCACGAGCTGCAGGAACAGCGCTTAGAGGAGAGGCTTAAGGCGTCCAGGGAGGCTTTCGCGCAGTTTCTTGCGGCACAAGATACGGAGAGCGCAGGAAAGGACTCTGAGCGGCTGGTGCAGCAGCAGGAAGCTCCGGAGATCCCATTCAAGCCTGTAGATTCAGCACGGCTGCGTTTCACTTTTCTGGGGCACAAGCCTCTCTCTTCCATACAAAACGAGGGTGCTGAGGATCTGGAGGTACAGCGACTCGGGAACGAGCAGCAGCAGCAGAAAGATGGCCAGAGGGAGCAGCTGCATTTGGTTGCGATTCTTGATAGACAGGCACGGCGGCACTCCAAGGATATGGCGAAGATGAAGCGGCAGATTCAGGAGTTATTCAGCTGGTCAGACGCTTGCGCCATGGCAGCCGTTCGTCGCCTGAAAGCCGAGTTGTCCGAATGTGCGGCTGCTGCGACCGCCTTGCTTTCTGCCGACGCTGCTTTTGCCGCTTCCGCTCGTGCAGCGCTGCTTCAAGTGCTGCAGCTTCTGGGGGATAGGTCTACAGCACAAGAGGACCTCGAGAATTCGAGGCACGCCCTAGAGGCGCTCCTGGAGCCGGTTCTTGTTGAGCTGGAGGGGCAGCAGCTTGGGCTGCAGCGGCAGCGATTGCCGTTGCTCCAACGACTCAATCAGAGCCGCAGGCGTCTAGCCTTGTTGGTGGAAGCAGCCTCAGGAATAGCAAAGTCTGTTGACGGGGCAGCGATGCAAGGGGGGTCGTTCTGTGGAGAGCTCTTGCAGCAGTTGGACCGGCTGCAGGCACCAGACTCGGAGTCGCGGCTGCTGCTGGCGCATCAGCTGCATCACGAAAGGCTTCTGGAGGGCATGCGGGTTATCGCAGCAAGTCTCCGCTCCTTCCTGACGTTTCACACTGACGCTGCAGATTTGTCTGAGGGAGATCAAATAGTGCAGCCGCCGTGTTCTTCCAGCGAGCAGCTTGATCGCTTGCTGGCCTCGGCAGGCACGCTGCGTTCTGCGGCTCTAGAACTTGCAGGCGCTATTCGTTTGTCTGTTGGTCTCTTGAAGAAGGAGGAAGGGTCTTCGGAACCCCCATTGGTGATGCACAAGGAGGGGGATACCAACTCTGAAAGCGTGTCAGCGATTTCGGCAGAGGGCCTTTTGGAGGCCATGCAAAAACTGCAACACGAGGCGAAGCAGCAGATGGAGGCAATCTTGGAGACACACAAGCGTCTGGACGCCACAGCCGCAGCGCACTATGCCGCGAGAGGCGCAGCAGCAGCAGCAGCAAAGGCAGCAGACCTGTGGAGTATCGGCCCTCAAAAGCGGCAGGATTTTGATGGAGAGGCAACCTACAGCGGAGAGCAGCTCCAGCTAAGTGCCCAGAGGCCAGAGGCTGGCAACGAGAGCGGTATCGCTTCCCTTGTAGATCAAACGGAGGAAGCGATGGAGCTTGCACCCCCTCAGCATGCCACGAGTACCTCTTCGGCTACAAATGATGCTGATGCTGCTCCTTGCGTGGGTGCCTCTCCAAACGCATATGCTGGTGGGATCCCTGGATCTGATAATGCCCAGGCTGCGGCCGCTGCCGCAAGTGCGGCCACTGACGGGCTGTTCATGAGTGCAAGGACGTGTGCATCCGAGCTGAGGGATCGACTGGAGAACGCGATCGACATCTACAATAGCGCGAGACACCTGCTAGCCGTTGCATCTGCGGCTTCCGCCCAGCTTGTCGAAGTGGATGTGTATATTTTCAAGCAAAGGGAGCGGCAGGAGCGCAAGATGGTGGCTGAGGGCACCAGGGAGCAGCTGAGGCAGGATATCAAGAGACAAGCCGCTGGCCTCATGCGCCTGGCTGCGTTCGGATTGACAGGCACACGATAGACTAGATTGAGCGGTGGCAGGGGAGGTAGCACACATAGCAACCAGGGGGTCGCCTGCAAATAAGGAGCTTCCCCAGAGTCTTTCATATTGTGGATGTGCCTTTTGTCGCTCACGTCCAGAAGGCGCTGCCTCCTTTCATCCTCTCTGCAGATACTTGCCGTTCGACTCCTTGCAGTGTATGTAGATAAACCTCAGCGGCGGCAATACAGCAAGCGGTAGGGGCCAAAATAGAATTGTAGGTCTAACAGGGCGTCTATTCCAGAGAGGGCGCTGGAGCTGACGGAGAAACTTGAGAGTGTCATGACTTCTCCAAGGCCCGTAGTAGGCCCCAACCCTCCTCCGCAATGCGTCTTACTGCTACACAATAACCGTTTAACACGGAGGCCTTCCATCAGAAAGAGCCTGTATGGCAGTCGCTGCTGTTGCCACAGGTTGCGCGCCTACAAACAGACCCTTTAGGGTGTGTAGTGCTGCTTGTGCGAACTGTACCCGCATAGGCTGTGGCATTCCCGTCTCGGGCCAGAGTTTTGGCTGGCGCGACGACGTATCAGCTCCACGGCATGCATTCGATTTTCGGCTGCAGCTGTGTGGTATCGGGGAAAGGGATAGGAAGGCTGATGGCGTTGTAGGAGGTCTTCATTCGTAATGGTAGTGCTTTCATGCCTATCAGAGCTTTTTGGGCCCCTGCAACTGTGTGCAGAACTTCACACAGTATTGAGGCTTGGGATTCCAGGCACTCTAAGAGGCCTCTTGCAATGCAGTGCCACTCTAGAGGGCTCGATGTGCTTGTTGAACCACTTTCGCTGGAGCAGCGTTCGCCCGTTGGTTATGGCATTGTATTATCCCTGGCATTTGACCCGAGCTTCGCACGACGCCTGTGGAGGCCTTGCATTCCTTTCGTTGAAAAATCTAGGTCACAGGACTCTGAATTTGTCCAGTTCATAACGCAGGTTAGGGGCCTGAGCAGGTAGCTTAGGATGGCTGCCTCTTCGAGCAGCATGTGACAAGAGGTGCGGAGCCGCCTTCTTGGGGGCGACTGCTGTTCGGCCCCATCGACTTGCTGCACGACATCTCCATTGGTGTCTTAATAGCAGGAGAAGTTCCCCACGGAAAATAAGCTGGCCTGCTGGCTGTAGTACGGCTTTGCTCAGGGGGAGACAAAGCCCCTCATGGGGGCGTGGTGTGCACATTTTTCCTTTAGGCCCCCATGACACACAGAGATCTCAGTGGCGGCTGAAGGTTAAGGGGTATGCACAGCGAGCTAGAAGGACCACGCGCCGGGAGCAGTCCAGCTTAATTGCGGCTTAGAGGTGCAACTGCTTGGGCGAAAGGTGCATGCCTGGTGCATCGAAAAAGGAATTGGAGTTTGAGGTGTTTCGAGGGCTAAAAGTGGTTTGCGCTGTGATGGGCGCTCTCTGGCGATGCACATCGCCAAGGGACCTCAACTGTGGTACGTGGGGGGACGCAGCTTCAGGAATTCTGCCCCGTTCGACAAGCAGCTCTGTTTTTTGCTCATACGCTAGGTGATGTTTGTGATTTCCGAGAGCGCAGGGCTGCTCCTACAGAGGGCAAAAGCAGGACGCCAGGAGTCACTCATTGCCTGAATCGCAAAGCCCTAGGCCTACCAGCGGGTCTGTTCGAACCTACGCATCATGAGAAGGCGCAACCAATTTGCAGTGACGCATAACGGCACAGATGTTACTGTTTGCAGTATTCCTTATTCACGTACAGTACTTTCATGCCCTGGTGTAATCGCGTGAATCCCACTTTCATGGCTACTTTCTGGCTGTGGGCTTAATGGAAAGGGAGCTCGTTGCAAGACAACATGCACGTGTAGCAAACGACACACACAGAACACGACTTGGCAGAATATGCAACAAACGCGGAGCCAGCATGACCCTCGATACCTCCAAAACCCGCTGAGTGAAGGTGCTACGGGCGCAAAATATATAAATATGCACGATCATACATTCTGCACGCTAACCTGGACGTCAGCACTCCATAGTAAATCCGAAAATTTAGGATTGCTGAAGATGTGACACTTTACTTGAATTACCCCTCCCGGTTGTCTGCTCCAGACGGCTTAGATCCATATTGCGAAAGTCAACATTATGTGAGTGTACACCAGATGCGGCGTGCAGCCAGCTGCGAACGCCTGGAATGCTCTGACGGTGCAGTAAATCGCAACCTAGCTGTCACTCTCATTATGCCGCCAACCCTGAGGGGTTGAGGGCGCGAGCGAGAAGCTCTTCTGACAGGACATCCAACGGCAAGTCTGTATCAAGCGTTGTAATGGTTTTCGGCTAAGACTTTTTCATGATGGAGAGCCTAGAAGGGGAAGAACTACAGTAAGCTCCCAAGGGGTAGCAACTGTGCACAAGCTGAGGGAAGGCGCTCCACCAACAGAGTATGCACCGTTAAACGGTTTCAACTACTAAGCGATGTTGCATCTTTTCATCTGAGCGATTGACTTTAGGAAAGGTAGAACAACGCTCGCGCAGTACCCACGCCTCACACATGGAGAGCTTCAGGCAGTTTATGATTGGCCTGAGCATTGCAGGGGCCTCTCTTTGCCGTGTGTAGTTCCCTACCGTGGCAGGGAAAATTAGCCGGCAAACATTTTTAGCGTGGAAGGTATTGCCAAAAAACGCATCTTGAGCTCTGCCGTCAACACTTCGTGCCTCTTAAGCGTAGAGAATGAGGAACATCAAGACCAACGAAACGAGCCGTCCGTAACAACACAGGAACAGCAGTGGAAATAGAAACAAAGTGCTAAAAAGCAGCCACAGAAACAGCAGGTTTAAGGCCGTTTGCCGCACGCCTCTTGCCGCCCTGACTATACACCCACGATGCTCATAATTGCTGTACGCTGGCTTGTGAGCCACTTGCTGGCACTGTTCACAAGCGGAAAAAAACCAGCAATGCCAAAATGGCAGTATTAGAACAGGTGTGAGGCCTGAAGGGTTTCTGGTTCGAATGTACAGCTTCCTTACACAGACCTGCTTCCTGTTCCCCTTGTTGTTCCCTAGTCTTAAGCGAACGGGGTTGCGAAAAGGTAAGATAAGACCCCTGAGGGTGAGCGGAGCTAAAGACCCTTAGAACACGTAGACAACTTACCCCGTGGGCGCTGAGGAGAGCGAAAGAGTTGTGACGTGTGTCTGCTCACTACGATACAAGATCTTGGACAGTGTTTTAGCCGTGCGGCCTCTCCACTGCTACAGTACCTTCGAGGTACCCTCTAAAAGCATCCTAAAACAGCATAAAAGAAGCAAAACATTTCCGTCATGCTGGGCGCTAACCGCGAGAGTAGCAGCAGAAGCAGAAACAGCAGCAGCAGAAGTGGCAGCAGCAGCAGCAGCAGTTGGGAGCTGCAGCCCCTGCATCCTATACCGTCGGGTTCTCCATGCCGCATGCGCTGCCTTTTTGTTGCTATTGACCCTCTGGTTTTTTTGTCATTTTGTTAGGCCCATGCAGGCAGAGCGGCGCCTTATGCTTTCCTTATGGCGCCTCTCTCTTGCCGGGGTGCTGCCGCTGCACTAGTAACACTCCTCCGCGATTTCTACACTGCGTCGGTATGATTGTTCTCCATTTTCCTGCAGCTCCAAGAGGCCTCCACTTCCTCTAACATATTCCCAGTAGCTTTTCCACCCGCTGCTGCCGCTGACGCGGCATCCCTCGTAGCGGGGTGGACGGGAGGGAGTTGCAGTGGCGATTGCTCTGCGTTCCTCCCCTTGCAGCAGCGGCTGCTTCAGCTGCTGCTGCATCGAGAGTCCGTGTTTCCACTGTTTCGGGAAGCGTGGGTAGGGGCTGTAACAGCAGCAGCAGCGGCAACAGCAGCAACAATCAACGTAGCAGCAGCAACACGCGGCCAAGATGGCCACAGGAGGCGCATCCGCCCGCGCATGCGGCTCCGTGGGGTTACCGGGTGCGAACCCGTACAAGGCATTCTACTCCATGGTCCGGTCTAAGCCGGTAACACTTTTGAAGCAAACTTTATTACAGCAGCTGGCTCTGCACTTGCAACAGCTCCAGCAACAGCATCCGCTACCCCCCGGTGCGGACGCTGCGCAGCATTTGCAGCAGCTGCAGCAGCTGCAGCAGCAACAGGCGAAGCGTTATCTGTCGGATGGACCTGGCAATGCCACTGTGCTCTTCGAGGCGGCCCAGCGTCGTACAGACTCGGAGGCTCTAGAAGTCACGCGTCTTTTGGTGGAGGAGTTTGGAGTCGCGGATCCTCAGACCACGGATCGTATGCAGCAAACCTGTCTGTTTTATGCGGCAAGGGAGGGCCATGCCGAGCTATGCCGGTAAGTATGTGCATGTAGATGTGGTGCTCCCCCATGGTTTCTGCTCCCGTGGTACTTTGAGGATGTTTGTTTGCGGGGCGGGTGTGTGGGTGTGGGTGTGTATGTAAACACTCATGCATGTATTTACACTCTTGCACACGCTGTAGGCACACTGCAGAAGTGCAACCTGGTGCGGTCAGACACAAGGCCGTGGGGTTGGAGAGGCTGTGACGGTGGCTGTTTCTGTTTCTGCTGCTTCCTCAGATACTTGTTAGCTCGGGGACTAGATCCAAATCTACGCGACTCCGTTGGTCAGACGTGCTTGTTCTATGCGGCGCGAGAGGGGCGAACGGGCTGCCTGGTAGTGTTGCTTCAGGGGGGGGGCGATCCTAATGTTTTGGATATTAATAAGCAAACCTGCCTCTTTTATGCGAGTCGAGACAACAGAATCGAGGCAGTGAAGGCTCTCCTGCAGGCTGGCGCGGACCCTAATATAAAGGATACGCTGAGGCGCACAGCTTGGAGTTTTGCAAAGGGAAACAATCACACACAGATTTGCGCACTGCTCAAGAACGCATCGGCTACCTTCAACCCTGTGACGCATCACCCCTCACAGGCCCCGAGTTCAGCAGCTGCACTCGATCCAGCTGCAGCCACAGCGCAGCAGCAGTTGATGCAGCAGCAGCAGCAAGCGGCGGCACCTGTCGCTACAGTCGGAACTGTGGCAGGCTGCAGCAGCATGACCACGCCTCTGGATGCACAGCAGGTGCACGGGAGGAGCAGCAGCAGCCTAGGGAGTGCCTCTCTGGGGGGGCTGGGGGAGGACATGCATCCGAGGAAGAAGTACAGATTGCAGTATCAGCCGTTGCCTGCCGAGATGCCCGACGTTTGGGTAGACTGCCCTCATGAGAAGCTTGAGGAGTTCGAACGGTTGTTTCCTTCCCTGGCTGTGTGGCCCCCTGTCGCAGCCTCTGCATCAGCAACAGCTGCAGGTGCTCCAGTGCCTTCAGGAAGCGACCCTTCTGCTCCCGCTGGAAGCTCTGGGGGGGGCAGCCCAGTGATGGGGGGGGCGGTTGACTTGAGTGCGGCTGCATGCATTGGACGCTGCGAGGCGCTCATGCAGCAGTGGCAAGGGGGTGCCCACGCGTTGCTAAGTGGGCTTAGCAAGTATGAGGGGGCACACATCTTCGAGAAACCTGTGGACAGGAAGATGGCTCCAGGGTACTACGATGTGGTGACTCGGCCCATGTCACTGTCGTGCGTTCGAAACAAGTTGAAGAAGGGGGCATACAACCACCCCCATGCATTCCTCGCTGACGTCCAGCTCATTTTCGACAACTGTGCGCTGTATAATCAGCCGGGCAGCTGGGTCAACACAATTGGCAAGAACATGCAGCGATTCTTCTTGAACCAGGTAAGGTCTGCATGCCTCATGGCAGCGGAAGGTGGCTGTTTTCCCTCCTACGTAGGGTGCACTGAGTTCCTCGGTGTGGCTGTACAGCATGTTTGTTGCTCTCCGTTTGCATCCGTCTTTTCTTCCTGGGTCGTCTGCCAGTGTACCCCTTTGTATGTATGCGTGACACCCCTTGTTGCTCATGAGGAGTAAGAAGCGGTGGTTCCTCTCGAGGGAGGCTTCCCTCCATCGATACGCTCCAAGGCACTCGGGAGGGAACAAAAAGACTCCTCAAGGGGAACTGGCTGGCCAGTTCCCCTTGAGGAGTCTTTTTGTACACCAACGCAGCTAGCTAGGTGGGTCACTCCTTTGTTGCAGTCAGGTGCAACAACAACGGGCAGTGCGTGGGGTGTTGTTTCAGGTGGTTGTCATGCGTTTTAACGACTACGTGGCCGCGTTCAACCGCATCTACGCGGGGTTGCAGCAAGTTGCGCAGCGGAATGAACTACATCGGCAGCAACACCAGCCAACCACCCAACAGAACTCTGCACCCCTCAAGACAGAACACGCAGAGGAGGGGGCACCTTCAGCGGCCGACCTGCCATCTGCTGCAGCAGCGCCAACGGAGCCGTCAGCAGCGGCCGCTCCGACAATGGCAGCAGAGGCAGCTGCAGCCCTGGGAGCAACACCACCAACAGCTTCAGCAGCACCCGCAGTACCCGCCGCAACGGGAGAGGCGGAGACAGCGCCGCAAAGCTAAAGTTTCTAGCGATTTTATACCCCACTAGTGTTCCTTTTGTATGCACAGATGGGTGTTTACACGCGTCATCCAGTTGCATGCGTCGTTTTGGGGACTTGCACGCTTCAAGCGATGTCAATACTCATCGTTCCGCTTGCTTCTCACTGGAGTCTAGCACTGTGCAGAAGCGCCAAGTTGAGGCTGCTGGGAGCCTTTGCGGCTGCAGCAGCAGCTCTTGAGCATGTGCTGCAGAGGCAGCGGGTAGGACTGCCGTGTCAGCGGTGCGACAGTGTCTTTGTGTTACAGCAGTCGACATGCAGTGGGCAAGCACGGCTCTTCCCTCCGCTGCTGGGATGTCTCCGTCTCTCGAGGCTGGGGGGTTGTTAAAGAGGATTAACTGGAGCTTTGGGGTTGCGCCGCTTTTGGCAGTCGCGGCTGCCGTGCCGCGTAGAAATGTGCAACCTGGGGAAATATTGACAGAGAAAATTAGGGTCATGCGCAAGTGCATGCGAGGTTTGGGCGCGTCGTCCTAATTGGCTTTTCAGCACGAGATCACCGCTTCCTACGCAGTAGGTAACATGCAACGCATGAGCAGCAGTCAGTCTAGCAGCACGCTTACGTGTAGCATCCACTCCGCTTCGGCGTTCGGATCCTTAGAGGGCGCGAGGGAAAGTCTTTCCAGCTGTAAAGAGGAGTATTTACAGACATGAAAATACGTCGAGTCCACGGCTCGAGTGAGCTGTTTTTAGGGATATTTTTTGTCGGAATGCTGCTCCTAAGGTGTAAGGATGGCCAGCAAGGGAGCGGGGGAGCTTCCATGAAACGAATGCCGCCTAGCGACGCTTTCGGGTGAAGAAGTCTCAGACATCCATGCAGTAGGTAGGCGCTAGGGCGTAGGCTGGATGTTGCAACTAGGAAGGTATGCGTGTGCGATACGGCGGGTGAGGGCAGTTCAGAATTAACGTGTTCTCACTCTGAACTCGGCGAGGGCCTCGTGCTCGAGAATAACAGGATGTGGCCTCACGAAGACCGCGCAATACTTCGCGGTTAGCGCAGCCTCGAAGAGGGTAGCGTGCTTGCTGCAGCAGATACTCCTTCTCCCGCACATGCACGGAGCGGCACACTTGCAGGCGTTCTCCTGCTGCTGCTCTTGTTGGCTTAGCTGGGGCTGTTGCTGCTGCTGAAGCCGGTGTCCAAAGTCGAAGGCCACCTCGAGAGTTTGCGTTCCGTCGTCAAAAGTCAGCAGATTCGCCTCCTCGTCTACTCTGAGACAGCGAAAGCACACTGCCACACACCCTGAATGCTAGGCACTCACCACCAAGGAGAGAGAGTTCAGTTTCAACACGCAACAAGAGGCGCAGCAGCCTCTTTTGGAGGGTAATTGTGTAAGCAGAAAAAAGAGAGAGTTAAGTTTCAGCACTCAACAAGAGGCGCAGCAGCCTCTCTTGGAGGGTAAGTGTGTATGGAGAAAAAAGACGTTTCCAGCGGTGATGAGGAGACAGAACCGCCAGGCCACAACGGCCCATACGAATCGGCTTCCTGAAGGGCCTCTAATAGCTGCACGATTGACTCTTGCAGAAATGACAAATCTAGATGTGCGTTACAGGCCCCTAAAAGCCTGACTTGGTAATGAAGCCTTGCAGCCACAGGAGGTGTATCTCTTGGCCCCACAGAGCGAAGGCGATGCCTTTGGGCTTCTCCTTGAAGATGAATTCCAAGAGACGAATCTGCTGACACAGACAGACAGCTACACGTGGGGAGGCCTCGCCACTCCGTGGCAACACCTTATCTACCCATGGTCGAGCTGTGCATGCAGCGGTAACTCCTGTCGTCGGGGATGTAGCCGCTGGTCCTGCTGCTGCCTCGGATCCGGTTGGCGCTGTATCTGATGACTTGGCAGCCGCTGTTGCGGTGTCTGCTGTGTCGGTGTGTGTCTTGGGGGCTTCTTCGGAATTCGGGGGGGAAGCCTCAAGACCCCTCATGATATTTTAGCCCGCAGCAGCTGCTTGTGCGTGCTGAGAGGCAGAAAGGCCTTTGTTTGTTCTGCTGCTCCACATTCGTTCATCAGGAAACTCGCACAGCCGACCACCAGACATACGACTGACCCGGAAGATAGCCCCCAATCAATGGTGAAGGCTTCGGTCTCTCTATTAAAGAGGAGCCAGTTCGGAGGCTTGACATTTTACTGAACGCTACTACATATTTAGCCGCCTACAGCTGGCGAAACCGCTGGCGCGCCAGTACTACGGAGAGTTTTCTTAACCATGCGGCTCTGCATGCAGCATGCAACACTGCCACCAACACCAACGATCTTCTCCTTGCTGGTCAATGCTCAGAAACCAATGGGTAACAATAGTTAAAACATTTAGTTAGCTATGTGTGGTGTGCTTCAAGTCGAGCCGTCGGCGGCGAGCTGATATCTCCCGCTTGAGGAGGAACGGTGGCTGTCGCTCGCTGCCATTGAAAGCTGTGCTGCACTGCGCGCGAAGGCGCCGGTGCATGCGCGTTGCAGCAACAACAGAAGAATCGGCAGCAGCTGTAATATGGGACTGCCAGAGCTGCAACCGGGTATGCAACGGCTGCTTCTGCGGTACCTGGCCCTAAGCGACGAGCCTGCCGCATCGTATGCCTATCTCCTTAAACCAGAGCAACAGCAAAAACACCCCTGTGACGAAAAGGGCAGAGGGCTGTCCACAGTCTATCTGCAGGAGCAGCAGCAACGGCAGGTTCAGCAGCGACAGAACGCCACCATCCACTTGCCCAAGCTGCCACTGCTGCAGCGCGCACACCCCTCTCAGCAGGGCTCCTTGGTGACCGTCAGAGCAGCAGAAGATAGGCTACAGGATGCGCTCACATGGCGGCAAGATCACCAGCAGCAGGAAGAAGGTCAAGACTTTCTGCCGCCATCACCCCAGCGCTTCCCCTGGGAGCAGCGTCGCAACGCCCTAGAGGACCTTCGTTCTGCAAAAACACAAGTGCAGAAACACCACCACCATCAGGAGCAGCCGCAGAAACTTCCTGATGTTCAACATGCAATAGAAGGAGTTCAGTCTCAGGACAAGGCTCAGAACGGGCAGCCGCTTCAGCAGACAAGCAACAACACGGCGATCGCCACTGAGAGCCAGCTGCAGGAGCTGCAGCAGAAACTGCATCAGCTGCAGCAACAGCAGCAAACACTGCAAGTCCTAATAAAACAGCAGCACCCAGTGCACCAGCCCATGCCCTTAAGCGCAGCACGGCAGCCGCACCAACAACAACAGCAGCAGCAGCAGCACCAACAACAACAACAGCAGCAGCAGCAGCACCAACAACAACAACAGCAGCAGCAGCAGCAGCTTTTCCAGCAGGCGGGTCAGCCTGCGTTGCCGTCGGCGGCTTTAGTTGCTCTTTCAACTGCCGTTCGGCTTCCGCAGACGCAGCAACAGCAGCAGCAACAGCAGCAACAGCAGCAGCAGAGACTCCACCAGCAACAGCAGCAGCAGTTGATGCAACAGCAGCAGCAGTTGATGCAACAGCAGCAGCAGTTGATCCAACAGCAGCAAGATGCGCAACGGGAGCTGCGCCGCCAGCAACTGTGTCTCATACAGCTGGAGCAGCAGAGGCTACAGGTAAAGGGCCGAAAGCTGACGAATCAAGCAAGTGCACTGTTGCAACAAGAAATCCCACAACAACAACCCCACGTGGTGGTGGTCCGTCGACCTGCAGGCGCATGCGCCTTGGATTTCCAGCAGCCCCATGGCGATGCATGCACCGTCAACACCATCACAGGGGCAGGCCAGCAGCATTTGGTGCAGCTGCCCTCGGCAAGGAGCAGCAGCAGCAGCAATACTCCGTGCATGCACATGCCGTCTGCTCCGCCACCAGCTCCAAGTGCAGCCACACATGGCGACTCCAGTGAAGAGCTGCTGTTCTCTTCTCCCTCGCTCTGTCCTGTAAACTCCCCGCGGCAGCTGCCGCTTTTCGATAGTGAGAGCGGCGATGCGTCTGCCTTCGCTTCCCATTTGATAAACCCTAGGCCGTAGTCGCTCTTGCAACTCTGCCTCCAGACCCTGCCCTCCCGAGGCTGACAAATAAACCGAGGAGATGCAGCAGCTGCACCCTTGGCGGCGCGATCTGACAGCACCACCTCCATTTCTCGCAGGGGCTCCGCTTACAGGCGCAGTGCAGTTGGCTCTGCTGGTCAATCAGCTGTTTGCATAGAAGGGATGTTATTGCACAGCTCAGCCTTGAGGGGCGGCGTATATAGTCATCAGAGGGATGCTGGTGTACCTGCTGTAGCGGCTAGGCCTGCCCCTGCTCATGCAGAAACCTCGAATAGATTTTTGTGTGTCTACTACTTGTTTTGAGCGTCGAGCAGTTCTGAGATGCGGCGCCCTCGACGGGCTTTTAGTAGGGGTAGTAAAACTAAAGGTTCCGTCCCCCTGCCACTAAGGGCTTTTTCTTTGCCTCATATCTCCGCCGTGTAGACTGTTTCCTGTAAATCGCCGAGACTCGAAAACGCTTTCGTACGGAGTGAGGGCACACTCTTAAGTTAGCGGTATGAATCAGTAGAACTGTAGGAAGGTATCCATCCCCCTATGACTGGGAGGCATTCCTCAGGCAAGGGAAAATACACCAGTGCTATCGCTGCAGGGATGTTAGTAGTGCAGCAGCCTCTGAAAGACTCAGCGGAAAGGCTGTTTCCCCTAGCGTCAGAAAGCCTGTCGCTTCCTCGTCCTGGTAGCCTGTGTGTTGACCGCAACACCTACATCCATGATTTTAAGGGGACTTACGTGGTTCCTGCAAGCGACGCCTATACAAACATGCTCCCGCGCAGCAAAAGCACTGCCGCGCAGCAAAAGCAGTGTTCCGCTGCCACTAAAATAGGCAACACTGGTAGTGCTGCCCGTATGTATATTGGCCGGCTGCTCAAAAGAGCCACCGGAGAAGGCGCTGCGTTTCGGGGGCTTCTTTCTTTCGCCGAAAGGTGTCTAGTCACACCGAACTACTTTCGGGCCGTGCGGCGGCAGCAGAGACACCGTTCCTACGAGTGGTGCTGCCCTTGCTTTTGTGCAGCGTAACAGCCACTGGTGCTGCCTCAGTGAGGCGGTAGAGCAGCGGCGAAGAGTTCCTGTACATCGTTTGACGGGGGCGCCACTCTGGCGCACGCACTCGCCAAATCTTTTACCCACAGAGACAGAGGCCCTTCCAAAGAGCCAAGGCCCTTCAGGCTTTCAAATAGGCAAATGCAGTCTACACATAGCCTGTCTCCTAGGCTCCACAACCTACCTCCAGCAGCAGCCCCTCCCACGTCGGCGGAAGCAGCAGCATCACATGAAACGCCTTTTTCGTCAGCCGAGTAGGGCGTGCCCACCTGTGCACCACCCCGTTTGGCTTGGTCCTGAGCGGCATTACCGGGAGCGGCGGCAGCAAAGCCTTGCTTTTGCTGCTGCTGCAGCTTCGTACAGAACACCTCCGCCATCGCGTGAAAGGCCAAGGCGAAGAGGCGGCTGGTACACTCAAGAGGAAGCACTTTCACCAGAACCTGAGGAGCAGCGGCGGCATCAGCAGCACAAGAAGCTGCACATGCCTCCTCCTTGCAACTCAAACCCACAGCACTGCCACAGCGTGCTCCTCTAGTAGTAGCAGCAGCAACAAGAGTGTAGGACTAAGTCGGCTTGCCCGGTGCATTGAAGAAATGTCTTTAACCAGCTCGCGCAGCGCTTGGTGCGGCAAAGGCAGCTCTTTCTTCTGCGGCTGGACACCATCGGTGCTGCCGGTAGGCGCTTCTGGAACTGGGGGATGTGATGATGACACCCAGAGCGTTGCATGATACTCAAAGCGGTCCACGAGGATCGCCACCAGCTTGTCAAATACCTGAACACGAGGAACGGCAGGGGCAGGTGCTGCACAGACAGTCCCAGCCATTTTTTGTGCGGCAAAGGAGCTTCGCCCTTCGAAGAGCTCCTTTATTCGGTTCGGATCAACAGCACAGCGAGCACCTACAAGTGAGGCAGCAGCCACCGCCCCTGCTGCAGCAGAGGTATAAGCACCACGGAGCAGCGGCCTCGAAAATGCTCACCAATGACTTGCTGTGTGCAATGCCTTTCGCTGCTTGCTGCAGCCTCTGCAAGACGGTTCCACTCTGAACTCCGGAGGTTACGAGGCCGAGGTGTCTAGACACTGCACGCACCGCCTGTAAAGGCGCCAGTGGAGGGATGAAATGGCACGTTCCGTCTTTTAGTTCCTCTCCTGCCACGGCAGCCGCCGCAGCCGCTGCTTGTGCTGCACGTAATGGATCGGATGATAATGTGGTCGCGCTGCGTTGCTCTTCTCTTCGCACGAGGTGAAGGAATGCCGTGGCAGCGTCTTTCAGTTCTGTGTGTTGATGACAAGGTTGTTGCTGCGCTTCTGCTGCCGTTGCCCGCTGAACATCCGGCTGCTGCGTAGTACTTGTCACATGCAGAACCGAGAGGAGCTGTCTCTGCGGCGGCCTGCTCGTCTCTTCACTCTCAGGCTGTTGTTGTGGCTGCTGCTGATGCTGATGCTGCTGCTGATGCTCGCGCTGCTGCCGATCGACTTTTTCCGCAAGCCGGTCAACAAAAAAGAGGATACAGTCAAAAGATCGCGCCACCCTCGCAAGCGCGCCTGCTGTAATGCGTTGTAACCGCCCCTGCTGGACCGCACCGCCCTCCACCGTGAGGTGTACAGACACCCGAGCAAAGTGCAGGAGGAAGCTGGAGAGGGAAGAAAAAACGGCAGACTGTAGGGAGGGCAGCCAAGCTGCAAGAGAGAGGTAGTCACGGACCAGCTGCAGAAGTAATTCCCACACAAAAAAACGCAGGACGATGGCGTTCAAAGGGTCAAAGGCGCTGCTGCAGAGCATCATCACCACCATCAACCTTCCCGACACGGCAGCAGCACCGGCACCAACAAGAGCTGCTGCTGCCGCTAGTAGTCCTTACTGCGAGAGCAACGAGAGCTGACGGGGTAGCAGCAAAGTTTTCTCCTTCGAGAAGAATTCCCTGGGCTCCAATAGAGATAGAGGCAGCGCATATCCGAGACGGAGTGTCAGCAGCCGACAGGACGTCTCCTGTGGTGCCCTGTAGGAATTCCTTATGATGTTGCGCGTTATCGGTGCTCTCTGCTGCTCTATGTTTTTCTTGTTGTGCGGCTGCTCCTTCTGCAGAAGGTGTTGGAACCGAAGCAAAACGTAGAAGCTCTGCAAGGGGTTCCGCAAGGGATTGCTGCAGCGGCTGCTTCTCCCACGTTTCCTTGCGAAGAAGCACATCCAGCTGCAGGATTCTCGCTGCATGGGCTTCCTCCAGGACGCCTGAACGCAACGCAAGCTGCACACTCTCCAAATACATGAAGCCTGACCCTGCTGCCGTGGCTGCCTCCAGCGAAAATACCACTGTTGGGGGGAAGAAGGGGGAGCGGCTCCGCATCGATCGCCGCTGCAGGTGACCGAGCGACGCACGTCTGGCTTGCGACTGCACTTGTGGATAGAGGGACGCTGCCGCAGGAGCAGCGAAGTCTACGCGCAAGTTTTTCAGTCTGCTGCAGGCAACGGTGGAGCTACAGGCTGCCAGCAGCCTCAGCAAGCTGTTGCTGCCTGCAAAAACAAAGGTAAACAGTGACAGAGCTAGAACGTGTTTTTTCTCCCGTGTGGGCGCAGCAGTTTGTGCGCGCATTAGAAAAGGCGCAGCATGTCGGGAAGCAACGGCCGCTCGGTTGGTGCACAGAGCGTCTGTATCTCAGGCCTTCTTACCGCTGCATTCCCCGAAAAAAACCGGCTGCTGGCCATGTAAAGATGCAGCGGCTGCAGCTACGGCAGCTCCGTTGCCAGTCGCATGGCTGCTGTGGCTCATGCTGCTGGCAGAATCCGTCATAGTGCACTGGTTCTGCTGCTGTTGCTGTTGCTGCAGGAGGAGAACCGTAACGTTGAGGGACTGCAGCAAGATTTGTGCTACGCGCGTCCGCAGGCGCTGCTGCACGGCGTAAAGACACCCCAAAGCCTGAGGGTAACCGAGACAGCAGCAGCCAGCGCTAGAAAAAATGCTGCATGCATGCGGAGCCAACAAAGTCAGGAGACGAGACAGAAAGTGTCTCATCCTGCAGACGATCTGACAGGAAGCGCGTGCGCGCAGTGCAAATTAGGAAGGAGGCATGCAGAGCGACTCGGTAGGTAGCGGGACAAAAGGGCATTCTAAGCAGGAAGAGATATATATATATGTGAACCCTTTAATGCAGTAGAGGGATTGGAAGCGGCACGTTCGGAGCCTAGAAGGAAGATGAGGACAGAATTCCTCGGGCAGAGCAGCGCATGCAGAGCGCCTGAAGGTGTCGTGGATGCATCCCATGACACCGCGCTGAGGGAAGAGACGGGTAAGGAGAGAGGCAGCAGCCAGTCCAGACAGACAGTGGAAAAACGGACCGAGAGGGCAGTAAGAAGCATCTGCGTGAACTGACAGACACCCCCAATGGTCCCCCGATTGCATCGCGCCTGCAGAACCGATGCTATCTTCGCCATCAGGGTATCCAGGCACACCTGCGGAGGAACGCAGCATGCATGCATGCATGTCAGTGGTCAAACGAGAGACACCACCGCTGTTGCCGTTGTTGTTGCTGCTGCCGCTCCTCTCCCAGAAGAAAGAGAGCCACATAGGAGAGGAGGGAAAGAAGGAGCAGCATGTTTTCAATAGAGCCCTGTGCTGCGAGAAATCGGGAAGGACCAAAGGCGGCATGGATCGAGGCAGCAAACAGGCGGGCAGGCCTGGCAAGGTGCCTGGAGAAACAAAACAGTGGCATCGGCAGGGAGAAGGAGGCGCAGAAAGAAAGAAACAGAAAAGCGCATGGTACTAAAAGCCGGTAATTTGACACCGATAGGTTGTGTGCCTCACCTCCGCCACACGCACGAGGGCTGCTGCAACAACTCGCCAGTCGCGTGTGAGCGAGTCTGCACGCTGAAACAGCTTAGCGGCATCGTCTGTGTCTGCAGCATCTCCTTCGTCCTGGCGCAGTTGACCCTCTTGAAGAGACAGCCGGTAAGTGCCAAACTCGGCGGAGCGAAGCAGCACGAAGGACACCCACGTTTCCAAGCGGCAGGCTGCGCGATGCATCATCAGCAGTAGCGGCAGCCACACTCATGTTTCCGCAGGAAAAATCGAAGGAGTCTAAAACTACCGTCCACAGTGGTAGTATAGGCGCATATACGCAGCCTGGGGGAAGGCCGTTGCGGTCGAAGCTGCACCCGTTGTTGAGAAGTGTTGAACATAGGGGAGCTCTCTGCGACCACCTACGCTGTGCGGTTCAGGCGTTGAATAGGGGCATAGATTGGAAAATTTACCTACCGACAGAAAGAACGTGGCTGCAGACATCTCGGAAGACGCTACAAAACTCCCCGTGGCTCAGAGCCGCTAACGCAGCAGACAACTGAGCCGCACGGAGGCGCTGCTTCTGCTGCTGCCCCTCTGGCCTGTGGTCAGGCGCCTGCGCTTTTTCCGAGGGTGTGAAGGCTTCTTGCCTTCCGTCCATGAGGTCTGGCTGTGTATTTAAATCCTCCGAGGCTCCAGATTTGGCCTTTACCCCTGCCTGTGGTGTGGCCGCTACTACATCGTCGGATGGCGCTACAGCGGTGGGAGACGCGGTTAGTTGCCCTTTCGAATCTGCTCCAGCCGGACTGCCATCGAGCTTGTTTTGTTGCTGCAGATCCCGCTGCAAATCCTGCTGCACGTCTTTGTGTTTACATTCCAGCGGCTGTTGCAGCGCTCCCCTTTTGCTTAAGAGCAAGACTATGGTGCGTCTCATGAAGTCTCGGCAAAACGACGGAAGCCGCTGGCGCAGTTGCAGCAGGGACCGCTGCAGCAGCCCAAAGGGCAACAGAATCTCGAGGGCAGCACTCAGGCTGGACTCCGCTCCGATCTCCGCGCAGATTCTCTGAGAGACACAGCAGCAATAGCAGCAGCAATAGCGGCAGTAGCGATGACAGCGCCGGCACATGTATGGCCAAGCACCCGGAGATGTTTTGAGAGAAGCCGCCAAGGGAACTAAAGGCACTGGCATTAAGATAACGTCTTTCCTCACCTCTTCCCATGCAAAGCCCGCATTTTCCCCTCCCCGCTGCTGCGGGAGCTCCTGCTGCTCCTCGTCGAGCCTGCAGGCTGATGCCCATCCCTCGGCGTACTGCCCGTAAATCTGAAGTGCCGCTTGGTTAAACAAGGCAGCAGCGAACGAGGACGAAGTTGATACCCATGTGCCGCTGCTTTTCTCCGAAATTCGTGCTCCTCCAAAGGACTCGTGAGCCGCCATTGAATCAGCCCCCGTTTTCTCCTCAACGGCAGAGTTCCCTGCGGCAGCAGCTGCAGCCGCCACTGCAGTAGAAGGAAGCCTCAACAGCCAGCGATTGGAAGAAGGGTCATAAAGAGCTCGCCCTTCTAAGATTCCAGGCAACAGTGTACACTGCGTCCAGAACCAACTGCCTGCGCCTGCAGGTCTTCCAGTCGTGGCATCAGGGAGATGGTGACACGGCTTGGTGGTGATAAGTGTGCGTTCCAAGAGATCTCCGTCAACGAAATCGCGACCCTCTCTTTGCTGCTGCGCAAAAAAGAAGTGTAGCGACTCCGAGACGAACGCCGACTGGCTCGCAGTCTTGAGGCGCTGTCGATCCTCTGTGTACACTCGCAAGGGTGCAGAGCAAGGCCTCATATTACCTCGTGGACGCAATCTACGGCACCGATGGGAGAAAACTCGCAAGGTTAAGGCGCTGGCAGCGTCTGCATCAACTCCCCTGAGCTGCCAAAGGTGTGCAACGGCAGCAGTTCCAAGAACGAGGGTACTTTAGAGCTTTCCAACGGCGATCCCTCCACGATTCCCAGCAGCTCACCGTTAACCTGTGCCTTTAGCTGCTGCACGGCAGTAAGCCGCAGCAGATCAGGAGACAGCAGCTCTTCCGCACTGTGCAGCAGCAAGGCAGCAGTCCGCCAATCCCGCAGTTGCAGGAGCAACGGAATCGAGGAACAGAGAGCCCCTAAAGACTGCAGAGACTCCAGTTGTCGGTACAGCACACATTGTCGCTGGCGCTGTCTGCAAAAACAAGGGCAGCAGCCATGGAGGAACGCCTCCTCGGGTGCCATAACGGCGACTTCGACATGCACCAGCACACATCGAGCGTCCTAGTGCAGCGGCCAGCAAGGCTCAACAACAGAGGCTGCAAAGAATACACGCAGTCGATTCTAGAAGCACAAAAAGGCAGAGAGGCGCGGAGCACCAAGACACATACATGCCCGCAACACACGCACTTGGAAAGCGAAAGAACCTGCAAGCCCAACTCAACGCCGCGTGAGCGGACTTGCAGCAACTCCTCTCTGCAGCAAGAAAGACAGCGGCAAGAACACTCCAGTGCAGCTGCTCCTCTTGTACGTATACACATTGATGTATATATATTCGCTGGTACACAGGGGCAGCGCATCCGCTTCGACGGTAATCTGCGACTGCTACTGCTCGGCGACCCCCCACGAGACAGCAAACAGCGAACCGCGTGGCAGCTGCAGCACCTCCACCGACAAGCAGCATCTCATCTCAGCTGAACGGCAGAATCAGATTAGCAGCAGCAGCAACAACAACGCTATCTGCGCGCTGACCTGAGCTCGTGACACGAGGTGACCAGGCGCTGTGCCTGCTGCTGCATGCGGTGTATATTCCGAATGGAGGAATCGAAGAAGGAGAACGGAGGAAAGAGAAGCACCAGTCCAGATTCTACCTTATCCAGCCAGTCCGATAGCTAAAAGCACATACATCCATAATGCCTGAACCTTGATCCTGAAGCTCAAAGCGTGGCCTCTAGGTTGGCAGTGGCAGTCGAGCAACCCTTGCGAGGCTTCGACTCCTCGTTTCCACGCTTTAAACGACAACACCATGAACCCGCAAAGCAAAAGCAGGTGCAACAACTTTGCCTCACCTTTGCAAGCTGCTTAGGGAGCTGGTGAGAGTCGATGGAGAGGAGCTGTGAGACATCAAAGGAGGCACTGAAGAACACAGAGGGCATCTCCTGCAACAGCTGCTTTAGCAACAACTGCTGGCGGTCCTGCAGAAGCTTCTTCTGGTGATGCTGCGCCTCCTGCTGCTCTATGAGAGGCTGCGCAGGCAGTCCGATACCCCCTACGAGCAAATCAACGGCGGGACTGCTGAGACTGCACTCAAACGTAGCGTTGCTAATCGCTTTGCTACCGCTCTTGCTGCTGCAACTGTTGCGTTCAAAACGCGCGAGATCCTGAAAGAACAAGCCCAGACGCATCAAGCAACACACTGCGGCGCCGACTGTCTAGACAGTGCAGAAGCAGACTCCCCCCTGAACTCCTGCTCTAGCTCCCCCTCTGTAGTCTCAAGAATGCATGTCTCATGCCGTCCTTTCCCCCGCCGACTGTCTAGACAGTGCAGCAGCAGACTCCCCCCTGAACTCCTGCTCTAGCTCCCCCTCTGTAGTCTCAAGAATGCACGTCTCATGCCGTCCTCTCCCCCGCCGACTGTCTAGACAGTGCAGCAGCAGACTCCCCCCTGAACTCCTGCTCTAGCTCCCCCTCTGTAGTCTCAAGAATGCACGTCTCATGCCGTCCTTTCCCCCGCCGACTGTCTAGACAGTGCAGCAGCAGACTCCCCCCTGAACTCCTGCTCTAGCTCCCCCTCTGTAGTCTCAAGAATGCACGTCTCATGCCGTCCTTTCCCCCGCCGAGGCAGTTGGTATAAAGCTGAAGCTCTCAGACTTTCCATGTGTGAACCTACGTCGGAGAGAGAAGAGAAGAAACGTTCAAAGTCCGCAACACGGATACGCTGCTGGTGCTGTTGCTGCTGCTCACCCCCCAACAACAACAGCGGCATAAAGCTGCTGCTGTCTGCCGTTCCCAGGCTGCTGCTACCACTAGCAAAGGTTCCGAATAAGCCTCCACTCTGCTGCTGCTGAACAAGCGACGCAGCAGCGCATGCACAAAAGCCTAGTTGCTCTCCAAAATCGCCCCCCCTCGGGCTGCACAGCAGGAGAAGTACAAGTCGTGAGTTGCAAACAATACTCCAACAGAACCCATGAACGGCTGTCCATGCATGCTCCAACCTCTAAATATGAATTTGTAGCTTTCAGCCCTCACTTGCAGTCCTGCTGCGACGTTTACTACTGCACTAATGTGCTGAGCGTTTTCGATCTCCTGCAAATTCCTCTTGTGCGTCTCGGGTGCCAGTACTTCTGAGGCGTCAACGAACTCGCTCGCGCCAGTCGTGAAAGTACCAGCCTCGCTCCAACGAAGCGCTGCGCTTGACTTCGCTGAAGCAGCAGCGGGAGAAAACAGGGAAGGCTTCCCTGTTTTCTCGACAACAGGGGAGGCACCCGGAGACACTGAAGATTCGGAGCGTCGGGAGCGTCTCTTTTGGCCCCTCGCAGGAGCAGAACCAGGTTCTGAGGCGAGCTTTTCAAATGGGTGGATTCTGTAGGGGGTGTCTGCGTGTTCGAGCACAACCACATGGCTAAGACCCCTGCGGCTACTGCTGCAGGTGCTGGTGCTCGTGCTCGTGCCACTGCCGCAAAGGGCTGTACTGGGACTGCCATGGTGCGCGCTGTACGAGCTGCTGACGTTGCCACTATCTGAATTCAGGAAGGAAAATGCAGAAGTGCTGGTAACAGCGCCCTGCAGCCGCTGCTGCTCATGCAGCGGCGGCTCCTTCTCGGCCACCATGGGCTGCATCCGTCACTGCACCTGCCAGGCATGCTGCTGCTGCTGCTCTTCAAGCTTTTGCAGCTGCCGCTCTCTGTTTCCGCTGCTTTTGCTTCAGCTGTCGCTGCCTGCGCTGCTTCCTCTGCTATTGGAGGACCCTTCTTCGCCGTGACACCTGGGGCAACCGCCGCGTGCGGGATCAACGCAGCAGTGCTATGCGTTATTGCATGAGCTCTCTCAGACACACGATCTTGAATCTGCTCGTCCGCCAAGACTGGGAAGACTAAAGCAAAGCAGCTACTAGCGCTCCGTGTCAAACTACCACAGCGACAGGAGGCGTACTGCCTGATCGTTGGCGCTGTTGCAACCGCTGCTGCCTTTCGCGTGCCCCTAGTCTATTTTCATCAGCATCATCATCCAAACCTGTACTCAACGCTAGCTATTCACACACGACCCCGGTTTTGCTGCGGCTCCTGGGCTTGCATGAGTCGCGCGGATTCGGCTGCTGCTGTGGCTGCAGCCACAGCAGCAGCAGGCGGCTACTGCATGCGTTGCATGCTGTGGCATTACTTCTTGCCACCATCATATTTCTGGAGCCTGAATCTTTCTAGTTGCTTTCTAAGTGTTCCGGCACCGGGCGCAGCAGCAGCGATTGCTGCAGCAGTTGCGCCTGCTTCTGCATCGTCAGCAGCAGCCGCGCCAGCAGCAGCAGGAAATAACAGTAGAAAGCAAATGCAATGGCCGTACAAGGAGTACAAACAAGAAATTAAGGGCTCTAAGGTACTTTCTGTTTTAAGTATATTCTGTAGGGCCCGTAGGAAGGCTTCCAGCAGCGTGCTTATTCAAGGGGGTTGCTCCGCTGCCTGCCGCTGTAGCAGCCAGTTCTCAACTATATAGCATTGTTTTGTGGGTGTTGGTCCGTTTTCTAACGGACAAGCTTGCACGGGCCGCTGCTATTGCTATTGTTCGGCTCTGACTGCCAGTGGCTGCGGCAGCACCGCCTCAGCCAAATTCGCCACAGGGGCACCGAAGCACCTACAGGAGATTTGGCAGCAATACCAAAATTTCAGCCATATTTCAATAAACTTTGACTGCCGCAGCTGAATCGCCTCTCATCCGAGGAAGCGGCAGCGGTGGGCGCGGTATCTTTTTAGCAGCCGAAGCAGAAGCAGCAGGAGTAGCGGCAATCGTAGCCATGGCGGCTTCAACCTGCAAAGTGTTTGTGGGCAAGCTGCCTCACACGCTGACTGAGGTAGGTTCTTGCGTTAGATAGCAGCTTTTGAGTAGGTTCAAGTGCTGCAGCGTCTCAATAGCACCCTTCATTCCCTTCTTCTACTGCGGATACAACTCTGGTCCGTTGCACTGGGGGTGGAAGCACACAGGGGTCGGATAAACCTGCATAACATGCTTGTACGTCTACCCATGCTGTCACTAGACACTCCTGTCGCGATGGCTGGTGCTGTTGCTGCTGCTGCTGCTGCAGGATGCGCTGCGTACAAAGATGCAAGAATACGGCCAGGTGGCTTCTCTTTTCTACATGGCGGATCAGCTGCAGCAGCAAACTGGATGGGCTTTTGTTACTTTCTGCTCCCCCTCTGAAGCGCAGAAGGCCGTAGAAGCTATCGATGGACAGCTGACATTTGAGGTGACACTACAACAGCTGAGTTGCTCCCTTGAGATGGCTGCTCGCGTTTAATGTCGGGAAGACTGCTGGAGCACATATCTTCTTGCAGAATGTGTTGCGACTGCTGCCATTGGTGCTTATGCTGGCGCCGACACCTCTAACTGTGACTGTGAAGCCGCATACGCCACCCTTCAATGGATGCATGCGGGCTTGGGGAACTGACCTTTCGCCGACGTTGCCCTTACTGCAGGTGACGCTGCTGCTGAGAGCTGCAAGCGACGGCTTTCTCCGGCTGGCGTCAGCATCTGTTATTATTTGAAGCTGCTGCTGCGTTTAGGGGTTTGAAACTCCTGCCGAGTGCCGCATGGCCAATCAAAAACCTTCCGCCGCAACTGCGAAGAAAGAAGCAGAAAAAAAGGAACCCACCAATGCAGGTAAGCCATGCACTGCTTAGGCCCGCTTTTGCACTGTTGTTGGAAGTTGGAGATGCCTATGAAGCGGCAAACCCTCAACTGTTCGTTATAGGCAGCAGCGGTTCGTCCTGTGTTGTTTGCTAGATTGTGCGAAAGCTGCTGTTTTTGTGGCTGTTACTGCCGCAGCACCAGGACCAAACTCCCCGTGGCAACAGTATTTCACCCACGATGGCCATGCATATTATTACAACTCTCAGACAGGTAAAGGATAGCCTTCTGGCTCTTTCGTCCACGGACTGTTTTTTCTAGGCAGGTCTAAGCGTCGTGCTTGACGCTTTTCCCGTATATCCGTTGTCGCTTTTTAGCCATTTTCTTTCTCCCTCTCTTTTAACTCCGTGTATGCCTGCTAATGCCCACTTCCTTCCTTCACACACACTGGCAGAAAGCTTCCTCTCTCTGTATAGATTTGCACATGCATAGAGACCCCATTCTTCGCTCCCCCTCGTTCCGCAGAGCTGACTCCGTTTCGGTCCTTACGCCTCACTCTGTGTGTGCAAATTTTCCCCTGGCCTCTTACGCCGCCGCGTCAAGGCGTCTTCACTCCTGGCTGCCTAAGCTTTTGGTGTGGACTACTCCTCAGGAGTCACGCAATGGGAGAGGCCAGCTGAGCTAGACAAACCCCAGCCGTCTGCAGCGGCAGCTGCCGCTGCAGCAGCTGCCGCTGCAGCTCGAGCGGCAGCGTCGAGGGAGTCCGGCTCCCAATTTGGACCCCCTGGCGCAAATCTTTTTGTCTTTCACATTCCTAACGACTGGAATGATGTAGACCTTATCCAGGTTAGCTGTTCCCACGCACGGGGACGAGGAGGCCTGTATGACGGAATGGGGGGAGGGAATGAGGGAAAGAGTGATGACAACGGAGGAAAGGCACAAAACAGATTCGCCTAATCCAGAGAGAGACAGAACAAAGCATATAAGGGAGTGGGCAGCAGAGCAAGGCCAAGGGTGCCCAGAGCGGGAAATATGGAGGCTTCAGTTTTGTAGGGTGTACTTGTTTTACCGCTATCTCGTGCTAATGATTGAGAGGCCGGTACTTGTGTTGCTACTGCTGCTGTTGCAGCATTTCCAGCACTTTGGGGACATTGTTTCCGCCAGGATTCAGAGAGACGTGGAGGGAAGAAGTAGAGGGTTTGGCTTTGTCAGCTTCGCAGACCAAACCTCAGTGCGCTGCTGCTACTGCTGTGGTGTGGATGTTGGTGTGGCTGCAACCCTTCGAATATGCATAGGAACGGTCGTAGTGCTGTGCATGCTACAGCTGCTCTGTGCTTGCGTAATATTGTGCTCTGTGGTGTCGCGTATACACCCTGTGGCTTCAGGCGGTGCACGCCATCCGGGGGATGCATGGATTCCTTGTGGGCGGAAAGCATCTGAAGGTGCAAATGAAGAAGGGCGAGGATATTCGCCTTACACCAGGTGGGCTCAGAGGGCGAGGCTTATCCTAGAATGATCGGAAGCTTGAGGCATCAGCCTGAGCGTGTTCCGGTCCCCCATGCTGTCCCTCTCCTTCCCTCCATTGGCGTCTCCCTCCGTATTTCTAGCAGTGCTTTTCTGGACTGCTCAGTACACCAGTATCGGTGTGGTTTCGCTCTCGCTTCATGCGACTGTACCTGTTTCTCGCTGATTGTCTTTTTTTCTTGCCTCCGTGGCTCCGCTCTGCTTCCTCTCATGCTCTTTACTTGCCTGTCTGTGCTCGCGTCCTCCGGTATACGTTATCTCTCTGTCTGTGTTGTGGTGTGGGGGAGCGAGGGTTTTCGTCCCTCCTTCTCCGCCTAGGCCCTGTGCATCCAACTGCCTAGATCTGCTGCTGCATGATGCCTTCTCGCGTGCGTTCTCCCCCGGGGGACGGCCGTTCTTATGGCTTATAATTACATTATTCTGTATCGGTTCACACCTGTTTATATAGTTTCTTGCTGCGGCTGCTCCATTTGTCTTTGCAGCCCTAAAAGCCCTGCTGCCTGTCACCCATCAGCCGGGGGGATCTTTCTATGGCGGGGGGCCCTCTGTGGGAGGCAGTATGGGAGGTGGTGGCATGGGGGGGTCGCCTGCGCGCTACTCACCCTATTAGCCAAAATGTCCCCTTTCTCATATGCACGTTCGCCCCTCAACCATCTATGTGGCTCCTTCTGGTCACGGCCTTCCGCCTTTAGCCACAGCGGCAGCCAGTGCTGTGCCTGCTTTGGATGGAGTACACCTGTATGCTGTTGCATCCGGGATGTCTATCCACGTCGGGCCGTTACGTGCAGTGCTATGCAGTGCAGCGAACGGCTTTCACCTCTAGAGAGACTAACGCTCTTGGCTTATAAGACCAAACAAAATTGCACTGTCCGTTCACGAGAAGCAGAGTATGATTGTGCTACCACGGATGCTACTGCATGGCGTCGCCTCCCCGCCGAGCGCTCTTTGCCCTTGTTGACCGCTTGCATATCAAGGGAATACTCCGCACTGTCATGACCCTGATTCAGGGCAGTCGGGCGTGAACGGCGACGACACATTGTGGGCTGTGCTTCAAGGGAACTGGATACACGAGTGCCATAGGGGAGTGCCACAGGCAGAGCCTTTGGATGAAGGACCGGCAGAAGTAGGGGTAGAGACACGGAGAGAAAAGGGGCCGCTGTCTGACACACGCAGGCGCGATTATGCCTGGAAAGTGTGAGCCTGATTTAATGTGGCTGCTGTACACACGATACGCAAGTGCTGAGCCTGAGCGCCCATTGTCTGCCACTGTGCATAACCCGCTGCCTTTATGATGCAGCCCTCATGAAAGGCTTGAGGCCTGATGTGCGTATAGTGGTACTAACACGTTTGAGCAATTTATATTTGTAGCGCTACACAGGGTGTCGTCGGGATGCAATTTTCTCCCTGATTTTTGATACAAGAGCAATTCAAGAAGATCCGACGCGTCCCTCCAAGAGACCGCTCTTCGCCTCAGACTCTGTGCAGAGCGCACATGATAAGGTTCGTACCTGTCCCTCCAAACGTTGGCCACTCCCTGCTCCCTTCCGTTACCCAGCAGGTTCCGGTGTGGGGCAGGAGCGAAGTGGAAAGGCCAGCTGGTGGGCATGGCCATTGCTTCAGCAGCGCGCTTAGCATACCAAGTGAACTTTCACACCATCTGCGCTTTGCAACCAACTATGCTTTCATGCGCACAACGTCGATTATCGTTTTTTTGAGCTGATTTTACTCTGAGAGAAAAGCCTATGCCAACAACCGATGCGAAAATCTCGCTGCTATTAGCTCTACGCTGAATATAATGACTATACTAGAAAGTGTATATGGGTAGCAGCCTGGCCCACTGCAACGGGGGAGAAATTCAATGCATAGGAGTCTGGACGATCCTTGGAGTCAGTCGTGAATCCTGAAGTTGGAACCTACAGAGAATTGCGCTCCAATGGTAGAGCGCCTTTGTAATGTGGGAGGGGGATGTTTTCAATATTGGTTTACTTTCGTTTTATCCTACAGGCCTCAGCCTGCAGAGACATTGCACGCAGGGTTCTCGGCCTTCAAGCCACTCAAACACACACCTTGAAATAAACGTAAAACTGCATTTAATTAGAACTTTATTGACGTTGATATGAGGAAGAGGTGCTGCAAACGGTCCTGTGTACCCTCATGACGCACCGCGACCGCGGGTTTCCCATGGTCAGTACGGTGGGCGTTGTCCATCTGCAACCCTAGCTTCTAACCACTAAAGCCTTTACGCTCATATCTTAGCCCTTCGGAGATAATTTTGGCATTCGATAGGGAAACGTAAAATCAAAGGTGCTGCTAAAACCTCAAGGCTTTTTCTCTGCGTCCGACGTCTTCCGTCCGGTGTGCGGACTCACAGGTCATGCGCGTAGCCTGAAGGGTTCTCCAGCCCTCAGTGGCTTTCTGGCTAGTCCAATAGCCTAAAACTTGCTTCCACAACGCTATACACGTGCTGCATTGCCAATCATTCAGGAACTACACCACTATTAAGGATAAAGTGCAAGGCGCTTGCCATCCTAAAAAGGAAACAAAAGTGGGGAGGGGGGGAACGAGGAATCGAGAATACTTATGCTTTTCGCACAGCCGTACATGCAGAGAGAGGGAGTGAAGGAAAATGGAGGGAACAAGTGGCTTCGGAGATCCTTGCCCCTCAGCCGTCCCACTGCAAAAGGGGCCCTTTGCAGGAAGAACGAGGGAGGCCCTAGCTGCAACAGCAGGTCCAAACTTCCATTTGGAGCCGGGTACGAGGAGATAGAGACAGGTTTCCAGAAACAGGGGCAAAACGATCTAGCGTGAAAATGAGGGAGGGTAAGGCACGAGCAGACAGCGACTCAGAAAGGGAGGATGACTAGGTGAAATACTATCTCACTGTTAAGGGCTTCTACGCATGAGAGTGCTCTCTGCGTAGTCTTGTGTCTTGCCAATCGCTGAACAGCCCGTTGTTTGGAAAAACTTGTGCAGGGTTTGGATGGGTGTTGTTGGTGCTGATATTGGCGGTTGTTTTGCAACTCTTTTTTGCACTTAACGTGACGCGGGCCAGAATACGCTTTGGAGTACAGCCTCCCGATGTCTACGCCATTAAGGGTAAGTAGCAAATGGGTGTAAGGCAACTTGTGGCTCCAGATGCACGTGTTTTGAAGCATCTCTTGTTAGAGCAGGTGCCACGGTGAAATTCGGCGGAGGCATCTCCATGAATTTCGTGAACCTCTAAGTGGCAAAACAAAGGCCCATATAGAGCACGAGACCATGCAGCAGCAGGAACTGATGGTGCAGATTCACGTCTGTGCCTGCATGTGCATACTGGTGGTTACTGCGTAATTAATGTAGGGGTGACAGGAAGGGGAGGAACCTTTTCTGACGATGCAGCAGACTCCACGCTGCTGCGTCTGTCAGCAAAGGAGTGTGATGTCTTTAATTGCTACCAAAGGGCCCATCAGGCTAGTTCCCAGGCTGTTGCTTTTGCTGCTGCCTATGCTTTTGCTAATCTAAAAAAGGAGACTGCGTTCCTAGACTTACGATTGCTACTTCCATGCCTTGTGGTGCGGCTGTTGATGTCTCCGCATTAGTTCCGCTCGCCTATTGCTGCTATCGCGGCTCAAATGATGCGAAATCAACACCTTGGCAGTAGCAATACTTGAGCTCGTTGTATCTGCAAGTTTTCCAGCCTTTTTCTAATACACCTGTTACTGCTGCCGCACGCGTGGCCATCGTGATGTCATGTTTCTGCGTACAGCACTCAGTTGAGATGTACACGATTTTCATTCCTATGCTTTTGACGGGAGGCCTCGGCTTCCCGCTCACATCTGCCCTTGGAGGCCTCGTGTTTCTCCTAGGGACGTTTGTCTATGCCCTAGGATACTACACAGGTGAATCTACTTATTGCTGTGGCCGGCTAGTGAAGCATCACACTTCTTGATTTTTACTTGGCTACACAGATGGAATGCAGGTGCAATTTATAGGCCCTGAGCGATGGAGGCGTTGTTTGCTGGTCAGTTGGGCTATGAGAACGTCTGTTCTGTCCAATGTGGATCAGTGTTTTGTTGTACATTGGCCCTAGTGCATGAGGAGCTGACGACTCCCCGATTATGCCGTTCTTGCTATTGGCGTAGTTTTACGTGTGTCCCCTGATTGCCTCAGGGGAAGCTACCAACCGACGATGGGGTGCCTTTCAGGTCGTCGGATTGGTGATCTGTTTAAGTAAGCCTCCCATTGCCAGCGGGAGCAGTTCTAGGAGTAGCCACAGGAACCAAAGGGAAGTCAAATATGTTTTTGTGTGGCACTTCTCAGTTACCACTTTCCTTGAGGCCCTTCGGCTGATATGGCTCGGCTGAACGACCTATGCCTATGCCAAAACAGCAGTCGACCCAGAATCTGCTACAGCATCAGCCACGCTGCGGTCGTGGCCTTTTTAAAAGGCCAAGGAACTGGCATCCCACCACACTGCATGTTACGAACATTCGCAAAGATTCCTTCCTACGCAGTCGTGCATGAAAATGTAAAAATGGACATGCGTCTGTGAACACGCATGCCCGTAGGCTTAGTTGTATACGTGCGTACATTCCAGCATGCTTTGGTGAGCGTGCAAATACAAACACACATTGCGCTTACGACAATTGGTTTCACCAGAATGCTCTGATTTGTATGCAGCCAAAATTTTTGTACAAATATCAAATGAGTTTATGCATGCATGCATCTGTATTTGCTCATTTCACGTATATTCTTTGTTTTGTATGTAGGGGAAGCCTTCCCACGGAGCTCCTATGATTTGGGGCTTTTTTGTCACCGCTAGAGCACTTAAGCGCAGCTCCTCACATTTTTGATGCCTCCTGCGGATTCTTTATGGCCCCTGGGGATCCGTTCATCAACTGCGGACTCCTGCTCTCCCTGGGGCCCTTTAGTGACTTTTGGGGTCGTTGGGCTTCCTGAAACTCCTACAGTAGCGGATCTACGCAATCGAGGAAAAGCGAATATTAGATCAGAGATATATTGCCGTACAACATGCCTGGGGGCTCTATTCTATGTGAACAGGTATATATATATATATATATATATGTATATATATATATATACTCCAGTGAGAAATCAGGAGCTAACAAAAATTGCATATTCGCGAGATATTCCGTCCCAGCTAATGTCCACTGTCCCACATATGGCTAGCTCAATATCTAGCCAATTAGCTAGCCACACAACTACTTAGGGAAGGAAGGCGCAGAGGTAATACATGACCTCCAGAACCCAGAGAGCCAGTCCTTCCTAGCAAGTTATTCCGCTCGAGGAGGATTCTCACGTGTTCAATGTTTACATCTCTTTTAATACCACCCCCGTAACGCATTTTTGCCTTTGTTGGTTGCGTAAAATGCTATTTGAGTAAGCGGTTGCCCCCTCTGTGCCAGTAAGCGTTTGTGTAGCTTCTACTCAAGAGGCGGACACACCGCTTAAGTGTCATACCCTATTTTTCACGTGGTCGGTCAAGCGCGATAGGGTAGGTCATTATTGCAGCGGGCAAATCTACACTTAAAAACTTGTTTACTAGTTATGGTTAACTAAGAAAGAATCGAGTAACTGGATGCCCTTCGAGATTCGTTTTGCTGCAGAGTACAGGAAGGTCGATCGCAGAAAATAGAATATTGTGTGCTACATGCTCTACGCAGCTAACTGGGAGTGCTCCAAGTGTTTACAGGGTTCAACTATGCTCATTTTAGCAGTCGCTCTCCCCTCACGTCGAAAACTTTGGAAGCAGGCGGGGAAGGAGACACTGAAGTTCACTTGAGAGTTATTCAATACATTTCTATTAAGTTTGTGATGAGTCTAGAGTAAAGTATCTCCCTACGGAGGCCCTGGATGAGGCGGTACATCTTGACGCTCGCTACCCTCACCGTGCAAAACTCCAGCATGAGGCAGGAAAGCCAGCTATGGTGCGCTTTGCTGCACCGTATAAGTACTACGAGGATTCACTGCTAATTGCACACAGCATCTAGCGCATACGCGCCCAACATTGCGTCTTCTTGTATTGAGCTTGTTCAGGGATACGACAAATGACAGGTACGAACAACCGAGTTAGCTCGGCAATTTTCGCAAATTCTTAATCTAATACAGTTAGTGTCGTACGAAGTGTGTAAGTGTGGCTCTGTCCGCCGTATGAGGGCCATACATAAAAAATTTCACATCAGTGAAGGTTTTAAAAACCCCAGGCTTTGAATTTAGCTAGACTTTGAGTGCTGCGGTTATTTCTAACATTCATTTAAATTGAAGGGTTTGAGATGTTATCTGTGCGAATATTAACGAGTGTGCAATATTTTTGTGCCACAACCTGTGCTCCGAAGCTTCAATGTGGCCTCCTTCCTGTTCAGTGGAACAGTGGTAGGGAAACACTTGAGCACCACTACCATATCAAAAAGTAACTAAATCCATGCCATTTGTAAAAATAAATGCTGAACGCCTGCTCAAATTTCACCTCTACGCCAGCGTGCATCCTCAGTTGGGGCTTGACACTGGAAGATAATGCATGCGCGCGACGCAGTGAAATGAGAAAACTGTTTCCAAGATGACAAAAGAAATGAAGCACCAGCATGGTATTTTAAGGACATTTTGCATGTTTCTTACGGTATCTTCTGACAGCAACGACAGATCGCACTGCCTTGAAATACATGGCAATATTCTCACCGCCGGCGTGCCTCTCAGCTACACTTTGAGCTTGTTCGTTGTGCGCCATGCTTCCCTATTACTCTTGTAGTACACTTAAGAGAGGAGGTTTATCCGAGTGCCGGGGGAGTCGTGCTTGGTGTTGAAGTCCGTCGCTGACTTGCCAGAAAGTTTGCTTCCTTATCGATCAAAGGGCTTGGCAGCTTGATTTTTAAATTAAGGAGTCACATTCGTTAATTCAAGGCATACTTCTACTGCTGCCAGTAGAGTTGTCCGTGCACACGATCCTTTGTGCAGAATCGAGTACCTGATTCGACCGTGCTTACACTGATTCTGTCCCAAAACAGGTGTAGATGCCATCAAGGAGAGATTTGTAATACTTCTTGCGCGCAAATCTTCCTTTAAAGTCTGTGTGTTAGTCGTGTGGATTCTAATGGCCACGATGCTTGCACCCCGCTTGCCCGTTCTCCTTGAAAGCCCGGAACCGTGACCCAAGTGCCCTGCAAGACGAAAGCTTTTTTCATAAGAAAATGGATAGCTGCTGTACCACAAGCATTCACACGTGATAGCCCCCAACAGATAAACGTGAATAAGTGCCGTTCACAACAACACGGACGCACGCCGTACATGTCGGTGCAGTATGGTGCCGGCTTAGCTACTCAACAAACAAAGTATAATAGCTGCTAAACTGTACAGCCAGTATATAAATAAGCCCCAGGTAACTGTGCAATAGTTTAGGAATCGCTATTTCGAACTGTAGCCTCGCCCGGCAACACCCACTTTCCCAGCGTCTCCATAGAGTCATCAGGTGTTTAGGCTTCTTCAAACAGCCACTGTTGAATGTTCCGTGAGTGGGTGAATATCAGGCATTTCTAGACAGTGCAGCGCATTCTGCACTATTGTAACTGTCTCAACAACAACATCTACGGTTACGACGAGCGCTAGCCAAAATGCACCTACAATCCTCGACGCTCGCTATCGCACTCTCCTGACAAGCCTATGGGCAACCATATTTTATCATAGGTTTCGAGCTTATAGTAATCTTACAGAAATTCGAAGAGCGCCACATGCTCGGGGCTAATTGTAGCGTGAAGCTGGACGCGCTGGTGGCAAGCAATCCGAAGAAGCCTCATCGTCCCCGGGATCGAGCCAAACAACGCACGAACCGCGCTGCAGAGCTAGGGACACACACAGTCCGACTTATGAGATTGTTTGACAGTCTTATCTACCCTGTATTATACTATTCGCCCTTTACATTGTGACTTCCCATGCAACGGCGGTGTTTCCTCACGTGGTGACAGGGGATTCTCAACAGCTGACCCCTACGTTCCGGTGGTCGGCTGACCAGAGGTTCAGCTGCAGTATTGTCTTGAATTGAAGTACCTCCCTGAATTCATATATCGTTCTATTCTGCCTCATTATAATTTTCTATGCCCTTTAGTTAGCATTTAGCTATCCTACACTCATTGGACCACATCGACAACTGCAATTCACCAGCTGCTTATGTGCTACAACATCTGACGTTTTTCACAACCATGAAGCATACTCAACATGTGGCGGCGTTGGCTGCCCTTGCGGTTATCTCTTGTCTTCTGAAAGACGGAGAGGCCTGGGTAAATTCGAAGGGACGGTATAACGAGGCCAGTGAATCATTGGGAGCACCTGAATCGATGGTCGAGGCTCAGTGGGGTTCCGTGTACGTGGATATTCCTGGAGTAAAGAGGTCAGATAAATCGCTGAGTTTCGTTTTCGCGAGCCTTACCGGAGAAGTGGAAGAGGAGTTTGATCAACTTGACGGTTGTGCAGCACATCAGTTCGACGTCAGGCCCACCAAAAATGGATTTTTTCTAGCGGTCAGCGAAGTACATAGTGAAGATCAATGCCAGAAGACGTGCTCGGAGACATTGAAATGTGCTGCAGCAGTTTATCATCAGGAAACGAAGGTATGTAACTTAATGTCGGATGTGCAGTCACTAATCAAAAGCGCAACCAGCACTGTTGTTGTGCCAAATTGTGACGTAGAATGTCTTGCAGTAAGCAAGAAGTTCAATGGTAATGGGACTTATCTAGGCACTGTTCCCAATGCATTCATATGTCAAGTATTATGCAAAGGGAATCCTATCTGCCAAAGCTTCTCATGGTTGAAAAGCACACGTGATTGTATCTCTTATGGGAGTGGCCCCGATTTACAAGACAATGAAGATGCCATCAGCGGATATAAGAATAGCTGCTCCTCGAGCGTCAAACCAACCGACTACGCCGGGAGCTGCACAGTTGCCGATATTAGCGCTATAGGGACGAACATACACTACCTCGGAAATGTTCACAGCATCAAGCAGTGCAATCATTTTTGTCTACTCAACCGTGGTTGTGCATGGTTTACATTCAATTCACAAAGTAGATGGTGTTATCTCAAAGAATTTAATGGAACTGGATATCATGATTGGCGGGGAGATCACACCGGGCCCAGACTTTGTGACTCAAGTTGCTTGCAAAAGGATATTGAAGTGACAGGAACACCGGTCGCTACAATTTACGGAGTAACTCAAATGCTGAAGTGTCACTTTGAATGCTCTCAAAATACGACATGCATGGTATGGAGTTGGAACCCTACAACGTATGACTGTTCCCTGTTCGGTGGAGATGCCCCCCATAGTCGCCGTTTTGCTGAACGCTTCTGGAGCGGTCCTAAGGAGGCGTGCCCTCATGATAAGCTGTATGAGCTACCCGGCCCAAGCTGCGCAATCAGAGGGGTTAAATATGGCATGGAGCCATTTTCCGTTGCCAGTGCTGGCAACGCCGGGGACTGTCAGAAGAAATGCCAGCAGTCGTCATCGTGCGAGGCGTTCGCATATGATACTACGACGGAGAAATGCGAGCTGCATCTGGCGAATGCTATATTGAGCAAGCAAGAAAGTAACACTTTTATTTCTGGTCCCAGAACATGCGAGGGTTGCTATGACAAGGATTTCGAATATATAGGCGAGACTCTACAGGAGATAAGCAGCGGCTTTCTTTTACCGGATGAATGTCAACTGATGTGCCAGGCCACCACAAACTGCACATACTGGTCTTTTTCAGGGGAGACATGCAAGCTTCTTTCTAAAGGACATAAAAAGTCCAATACTTTGTTTATTAGTGGGCCAAAGTATTGTGATGGCGTATGCGATCTTAAGGGCATGCAAGCACCCCGAAAAGTACATGGTTACCTCAAGGAGCTGAAGAATAGAAGCTTAAGCCAATGCAGAGAAGCGTGCAGAAATGACAGCGGCTGCTCAGTGTTCACACGTTGGCAGTCGGGGCATTGCTATCTCAAAAAAAATGGCTGTTTTGTTAACCAAATGCCGGATGAGGCCGCAGTTACTGGATGGAATAATTGCTCCACCTGCTTCCGGCAAGGTGTAGGCTACGTGGATAATGAAGCCACTAAGCTTTGGAGTCTGATGGCGGATAATGCAGAAGAATGCCGCGAGCGGTGCAATATGATGGAATCTTGCAGTTTGTTCACGTACGACGTGAAGGCCAAGATGTGTTCACTGCTCTCCGGAGATGCCGGGGATGTGCAGGGAGAAACCCTCGTATCCGGTCCCGCGGTTTGCCAAGCAGATAATTCTTGTTTCTCCTACGGGATAGTGTACGAAGGCAGCAATTTTGAAAAGATAAAGTCGTCAAGTCCGGAGGAGTGCCAGGCACTGTGTGCAAGAAATAGCCAATGTAGGTTTTTCACCCAAGAAGACGGGGTTTGTTACCTCAAGAGAGGACATGACCAAGGCACCTTCTACACAAAGCCTAAGGCTGGCAGTACTTCAGGACCCAAGAGATGCACGCAGCCAGACGGATTATGCGAAGAATCCAATTATGATTACCCTGGGAGTGACCTGTACCCGAATCCGCCAAGGACATCCAATCCACAAGAGTGCAGAGTGGCATGTTATAAGGATCCGCTGTGCCGTATCTGGTTATGGCGCAAGCGGGATAACGTCTGCTGGCAGAAGAGTATATCTTCCTTCTCCATTCGGTCGCAAGTCTTGCAGAATACAGAAGGTGGTCCGCGTCTGGGTTGCGCGAAGTGCGTACGCGCAGGTATTCAGCTTAATGGAAACATCATCAAGACGGAAGAGCAGTCTTCATTCACTTTATGCCAGTTGGCATGCGAGCTTAATAGCGAGTGTAAGTTTTTTACCTACCAGAATTCTAGCTGTAAATTGATGTCGACAATGGGAACAATTTCATCGGCGGCCTATGCGACCACAGTATCTGGTCCAAAGCAATGCTAATATTGGCTCTTCCGAAAGGCGTCGGGGTAGCCATTATATCGGCTTCTAGCGTTATACTCACACAATAGCCGCGTACGGTGTGAAATGCATGAATACGATCTTTTGTAAAAGAGTGTTCGTATCCATTTGAGCTTCAGCTTCTTCGTGTGAATTTATATCTACGATAAACGGCAGGCAGAACTTTAAGGGAAGTAAAGTTGTGTCTTGCGATCTATTGTTCATACTGAAGAGCGCTCCTGGAGAGGTGCCGTGAAAGTGAGTCTTGTTGCACTTGAGCGTTGCTTTATCCGCCCGAAATCCCGCGTAAATGTTACAATGTGACTTCCTGCAATAAGCGTACTGAACCACGAACAAAAGGCGCTGCGTACCTACGGCGGTAGTATTCCGCCTTCTGGTCAATTTCCTTCACGTTAAAGATAAACCAAGGTTACCGAAGGTTGTGGCATGTACGTCAAAAACAAGGGGATTTGCGAACGCAGGGCTGCAGTAAGCACGATACTTGGCCTACAGGGCTTATGACCTGTAGATATCGAAAGTTGGTCAAAATAATGATTACCTGAGGAATACTAGCTAGAGCATCAATAGGCAGTCGATGATTGTAACACCGTGCCGCCTGTCTGCTCGTCGACTTCCTGGAATATGGTATTCCGAATGGCTACGCTATGTAGCTAACCCTTGCGACTTAAGGGGGTCGAAGGAGAAACTGAACTGATCTTTGCCCCCCTAGTTGGCTCAATTTAGCTTTCTGCAATCGGTTGGTGACACCGCACACCGTTGGGCCTGGAGTGGAAGGCTTCTGCACCTAGGGGGATAAGTGAACTGTCATGCACCCAGTATGCATGCGTGCTTTTCGGTTCGGACTCAGAATGGTGATGGTGGCATTTTACTGCTCTTGCGTGCCACATTGTTTCCTAGATGCCTTTAAGTACCCGTGATTTTAGTACTTTTGCAAGACGCTTCTATGGGAACTTTCTTAGTAATCTTGATCAGCCAGTCGGTGAAGCTTCGATCACACCATCGGGAAACAAACAGTGCAACAGTTGGTGTCGTGAGCAGGTGGTGAACAAAGGTTTTCTTCAAGCCATGCAGAAGAATTCTGTGGAAGCTGGAGCTCGAAACGCTATATCTACACAAAAAGACGTACGTATAGCAACGCATCGCTAAGCACTGCTAAGCAATGCTTCCTGCTGCTACTTTTGCTTTCTACGGGTATCCGGAGCAGTGGTCGCACTACTGAAGTCAAATGTGCCCAATTGAGAATATCAATCCTCTAGATATATATCTGTGTGGGGCTCATTATGCAGTCACTTTATGATATCAGCAGTAGCAACCTTGCAGCAGCAGCCACGTCTTCCAGCAACAGTGTTGCAGCTGGATAGCACTAGCCAAAGCTGCCCCGATAGACACACTGCACATGCTGTGTATCACAAGGGCACAGGCACATCAAGAGCTTGCACGCAGTTAGCCATCTAGTTGTAAGCTGCTCTTGTAGAGCGCCACAATGCACTTGGACTCTTTCTGTTACACGAGTAACACTTAGGTAAAAGTTGGTAAGGAATATATACTCGGTTTGTCCGTATTATATCTTATTCACTTCAGAGTACTGTTGGATCCATACAAGAAGACGTCACGCTGCATGTATTTTTACGTCCGGGGCTATGTGCACATTGTGAATGCTGGGATTGCATCAAGGGTGCAGCTAAACGTCCCGTAGTTGTCCCTTCCCTTTCATGCCGGGAACTATGAGGGACATGGACAGGAGAAAGAGGAAGTTCTTCTGAGTAGCACTCAGTAACGTTTGATTCGGTATTTATCGGTTATGGGGTTAACTGTGGCTCTATGGAGACCGTATATGGAGCGTTACTGCCGTTGTGCGCATCCTCTCAAAATGCCGTTTCCTGATGTTTTAGGGCTGAGAGCTCATGGCTCAAGAGAGTTATTGAACTTAAGCTAAATACATTGCATTTTGTGTTGTAAGGGACCCTTTGTGATTTTCGTTGCACCTAGGTAACAGCTCTGGTCCTGAAAAGCACCAGCCCCGCCCGCACAGCCCCAGTGCTTGCCCCACATGGCATGCCACATGTTCAGGGCCTACTAAGCAAAATTTACAATATACAACTTGTAATTCAAAGCTCTGTTAAAATTTTGCTGAATGCCTCTTTAGTAGAAACCAGGGTGCATTGAAGTGTATCAGGTGTGAGGTTTAGAATTTGGGGTTAAGGGCTTAGGATTGATGATCAAGGCACAAGGAATAAGGCTCCCCCCGCCTTCCACTGTTCTTCCCTGTCTGATGTATGAACTCCCCTTGTGTCGGTTCTTATGAGCTTTGACAGGCTGTTCTTCTGGTTGAGAGAAGCCTTCCCCAGAACTATCGCAGCAGATGCTGTCGGGGCATGGAGTGTAGGTTCGGGGAATTAGGGTCTCAGCCTTGAACAAAATGAGTGCGACCTTTCCACTAACAACGCGTCGGGCGGCTGCACGGGTGTTGTGCATCCAAGACCCTTGGGTTGCTTCCCGTCCCCTGGGGTTGAAACAGCAGATGAAGCCACAGGGTCTCTTGCCTTTTTGTGCACGTACCTCTGTTTTTATACGCGGTTTCTGCAGCAGCAGCAGCAACAGTGCGGAAGGTCGAGGTTCCCGAGCTCAGCAACAACAGCAGCAGCAACAGCAACAACAGCAGCAGCAACAACACGAGCAGGAGCACCAGGGCCGCCATCGCGCACGAAGCAGCAACACTCACCACACTGGCACCAGCAGTAGCAGTTTTATCCGCATGGTCCTATCTCAAGTGCAGGACGATTTGCAGAAAAATCCAGAACTCAGAAAGGCGGTAGAGGACCTCAAAGCTTCTGCCCTGTCGAGACAGACCCAAAGCGTTGGCTCACGACTGCAGGATGCCGCCACAGCAGCTGCACAGGCAGCAGCAGCAGCAGCGAGCAGCAGCAAAGAGCATACGGGGCGTGTGATGGAGCGCTTCCAGCGGGTGCAGCAGCAAGTCTCGGCAACCCAGCAGCACCTTAGAAGCAAGGCAATGGAGCATGAGACCTGCAGGACGCTGGGGAGACACAGCACGAAAGTATTGAAAGGTGCTGCCGCTGCTGCCTCCGCGTTGCAGCGGCTGGCAGCGAAAGCGGTAAATGTATTTCAGGACGAGCCGGTTGCGAAGCAGAAGGCGGCACAGTGGAGGCAACGCATGGCCATCCAGCGCTACAAGCAGCAGGAGGAGCAGCGGCAGCAGCAGCAAGCAATGGAGCAGCAGGACGCCTCAAAACAGCGGGGGCAGCAGGAGCAGCAGCAGGAGCGAGACTCCTTTTCAGAGGTGCCGCAGGAGACAGCCCTAGTGCTGTCCAATGAAACGGCTTGGGATCGATTTGGATCACGGCTACGCGATATGCCCTTCCTCCAAAACTTCTTCGGTCAGCCGCGACACCAGCAGCAGCAGTAGGGGCCCCTTTCCCTGCAGGCTGGCGATAGGAGCGCAACCGTTACAGTGCTTATGCAGCACGAAGGAGTAATTTAGTGGTTTTAGCGTCGCTTGTGCGTTGCAGAGAATCCGTTGGTGGGCCAGCTTTTCAAGGAGACGGAGATAGCGGCCTCTATTCGGGAGATGAAGGCCATAGATCCATCCTTCAGGTTCGGCAGAAGAGTTTCTTTTTGTGTACAGAACACCGCTCGCTGATATTTGTGGATACCGCTTCACCCCTTTTCGTGCTGTTTGTGCAGTGGTGTCGTCTCTGTGCGGCTCTCGATCGCTTGCACCTTATAGCTGTCCTGCGTTTCAGACGTTTTCCCGTCGTCGTTTTTTCTGCCCCTGAAAATAGTGCAGTTGTTTCCATTGTTACTGCTACTGAATATGCAAGTGCCGCCCCGGCTGTTTGTCGTGTTGCTACAGGCTATCGGAGCTGCATGAGTTGGTACAGAGCGTCGTGGCGGAACATATGGTTAGCGCTTACCTTATGGGAGACGAAGAAACGCTCAGGCTGGTGAGATGTTTTCTCAGGCCATCGTGGTCTTTATTGTGTGCTGACGTACACTCCAGCTGTTTCTCCTCTCCATACACCCTTCCGCTACATATTTTTAATTGCATCCTTGTGTTCAGCTGGCTCCATGTTTTTGTCCCTGTCTCTAAATCTGATTGTTTTTCATAATTTTCCTTCCCTGTCATCATTTGCTTTCTGCTTCCGGCCCCTCCCCCCGTCAGCGCTTCACCGGTAATATCGCTGGGAGGCACGCCCATCATGTCGTGCTCTCTTTTCGTGCCGTCGTTTCTCGTTGTGTGCTGCCCTTACCAGCCCCTCTGTCGCGTGAAGCTGCCGTCTGTCTAAGGTTTCTTGCGTATGTGTGTTTGTGAGCTCTATTTGTGCCTGGACTACCGTCTCGTCCCATCACAGGATATTGCTGTTGTTCAGGCCCAGTGTAAGTGTATGGTTTCCTTCATATGTGCTTATTGGCTATGTGTGCAGCACTGCGGAGACGGGGCCTTTGCGGCCCTTAAAGCCTCAATAGATGAGCGGCACCGGCTCCATCTGCAGCTTGACCCCTCCATCCTGCTCTTAGGGCAGGTCGAACTCGTGGGTACGTGGTTAGCGGTGCTGCGATCTATGGAATTGTGCTGCTTGTTGTTGCATCTAGCGTTTCTTACTGGAGAGAAAAGGGTGTGAAGTGCTCCTGATGCACGTCTGTTGTGTGTGATTTCGCTACAGGGGCTCGCCGTAGCGGCGTGGACTCGGGCGAGAGTCCATGGTTTGTGTATACGTTTGAGTGCCAGCAGATAAACTGCCTTCGCGCAGAAGAAACAGGGAAAGTTGTGCAGGGGGCCCTAGATGATATCCGACGGGTGGTTTACTCAATAGCCATCTCCCGGCATACAGCGCCTGAAACTGCAGGCCTTCTCTACCCGTGGATGGTGCGTCTAGTGGCATCTACCTTACTTGTGCTATCTGTTACCATCTCCAGTGGTTCCTTCTCCTTTATGGCATTTATCGATAACGTGGAAGTTTGAGCTGCTGGCCACTGCTGTTGTTTCGTTTCATCAAATCTCTCTCTGCACACGTTCTCCTGTCTCGTGTGGGGGCTATACGGTTCGCTCTGTCAGCAGTTTCTTGCCATTAAGTCCTCGTCATTTTTTTTGGTTCACAGAGCCTCAGTGCTATTTCAGGGCTCCCTTCTCCTGGCTGTGCTCTCAGTGTGTCTTCTCTCCCTGTCCCTGTTCTGCACTTCGTTCTCTATATCGTCTAAGCTTCCTCACAGCTGCAGTTGCCGCAGTGTGCCCTAGCTTCAGTGATCCATCCTCTGCCTTCAGGTCTCTCTTCGAAAGCCCAGCTGGCTCTTTTTGTGGCTTGTTTCTTGCAGATTAGAGAAATTGCCATTGTAGGGAATGAGCCTGTGTGGTGAGCTGGACGCCCACAACGGAGACGCCACACAGCCACACACACAAGTACACACTCACAGCCAATCTTGCGGGACGCTCACTTAGTGCTAGCAAGCTGACGCAGTGGCAGCGTCCGCAGAAGGTACTGCAGTAGCGTCCGTGATGACGTGTTGCAGAGGCACGAGGGATGTGTAAACCACGTGCTCAGGCGGCATGATGCATGAACAGGGTACAGCCTACGGTTTTCAGGAACTGTATAAATCGCGTTTTGTAGTTCTATTCTACATTCAGTGCGGTGGCATTCGTATTTAGTATGCGTAGACATTTTCCATACATTATGTAACCAGTGCTTCCAATGTTGGCGTGTACATCGAAACGGCGTTCCCAACGAAAACCCAAAGCCGTCGAACACTGTAGACTGCAGACAACCCACAGGCCATCTGGCTGCGACAGGGCCCGCCACCCACTAATAAGAAGCGCAATTTTAGATGCACCTCAATCGGATTTTCCTTTAGAGTCTATCAGCGGGGGGGGCCAAATGCACATGAAGTTGTCCGCGCCGCGGAAACAGCAGGACAGCATGCGACTGAGGGCACAGGCGGGTAATAGTTAGCAGAAGAGCACATGAAGGTGCCCGGCCCGACAGACAGACGAGAGGTACTTAATGCCGTTAGAACCTGCTTAGCGCACATCAGGTGGCGTGCATGCGGCAAGGTGACAAATTGTTCAAACACTTGTCGCTGCTCTTGAACTTGCTCTAAGCGCTAGGGCCACCTCCAGCTGTTATGTGCCCCAGCCTCCCTAGACTGCGCATGACAATAGGGGCTTCCCAAATAGTGCTGTTCTACGAGCGGAGGATGCCGACATCCTATTGGCGGCCTTTACGATGTGGGGGGTGCTGGAAGACGGACTTCATTCGTGTTCGCTTGTGTCTCTACCGCATTCAGTAGGCCGAGCCCATGTATAAAAGCACAATATCCAGAAAGACGCATCACTGCAGGGACTGAAAAAGCGGCTCAGCCCAAAGGACAAAAGACGCCGTCGTGCCCTGCAGCCTGTCCAAGAGCAGACGGCGGGCCACAAGGAACACTACCTCGGAAAACTTGTAGTGCAACAGCAGCACGATGCACTCAGTAAAAACAACGAATGAGCGAGCATCTGCCCCGAAGTGCACTGTCACTGTCTATCCCTTCTTCGAAGAAGACAAATATGCTATATGCCCCTGGGGCCCCACAACACTTCGGTTCCTGGGCCACTCCCTTGGCTGCTTAATGGGGACCCCGTGGGGGGCCTCCCAAACAATAGCTTCAGATACTTGAGGGTTGGTCCATGACTGTAAATCACTTATTCAGCGCCTGCCTCTGAGAAGCGTCAAATCGGGAATGCCAAGCAACCCAAAACTATCAAGATGCGTGGAAAAGCTGAACACCCGCGTCTAAGCTCACTGCCTTAAGAAGGCCAGAGCATATGGTTTACTTTGCAGGCGGGTAGCGAGAGCATCCAGGGTCCCTGAGGGCAACTGCGGGTTTTTACACATCTCTTGCAGTAGCTGCTGTGCTGAAGCAGTCAACTCGGAGCCTATGCGGCGGGCGGCACCAGGAAAGGAAGCCTCGCACGCGCAAGCCTGAAAAAACAATACAGTCGCAAATACAGAAGCAGTTCGATCCTACATGCCGAGCAGAGCCTCCATGTTGCTCAGAAACCCCTTGCGCCTACGGCCTGACAGCTGTCAGGTTTTTCGGTTTCATGTTTGGCCACATTGCGGGTCTACTGGCTAGTTTGCTAGCCTGTGCTGGTTATGTTCTTGTGGTGCTGGGTTGCAGGTAACGAACTTAAAAACTCACAAACATGAACTGCTCTGAGTTTTGTAACACGATATCCGACTGGGTCGCGGCGAGGTGTAGAAGAGCCTGTAAGACTGTCTTGCTCTCCTCTCTGTCTGCTTGAAGTGGTAGAGAAGAGAGGAAAACGCGGACTACATCACCCATGGGAAGTCCTGATGGGGGAGCATGCAACAGCATCGATGCAACAGCTGAGCATGCATTGTCCACGGTGCTTTGCTCCGACTTGTTCAGGTCCTACACACACACGCACAACACAAAGACCGATCCTTAAGGCCCTTAACTATGGGCATAAGGCTCTACTAAGTAACCCAGCGCGAAGGTGGATGCAGGCAGCTTCAGCAGAAACACAGCAGAAGAGGGAGCAGCATCTCCAGCACCAGCAGCGGCTAACGTCTCGGGGCCTGAAGATTGGGTGCATTAGCTGTAAAAGCTCCATCGATTTGCTGTTTACTGCTGGCGAGGAGCCTGCGACCTGAGGACCCCGCACCGCACATCATCACGCATCATATACCTGAAACGAATCATCTACTACTACTACAGCGAAAAAACCGGATTCAGAGGATTGAGAGGACTGTAACAGCAAGGGGGAGTAAGAAGGGGCAGCAGCACTAGCAGTGACAAAAGGAGCAAGGAACAACGCAAACAGTCACAGACCTCGTATATAACGCTGAGACAGAAGCAGGCGTTTCTCCTGCAGTCCTCATCTTCCTCTTGAGAGATGCCACTGCCCACAGCTTTTAGAACGGCAGGGGACTCTGCGTACTGCACTGCTGAGCCCTGCATCTCTCTAAACACCTGCGGATACAACGGAGAGGCCGACTGCTGTAACGGTACATGCACAGAAAGAACTCAAACAACATCCCTCTATACACAGGGACAGATACGATGTGAAAACGCAAATACAGAGGCCTTTTGGGTAACGGTATGACGATGCAGCAACAGCAGCACCCCCGTCAACCGACCTCGGCAAAGCAGCCAAGGCCAATGGCGGCGTATGTCTTCGAGTGCTTGTGAGCAGCGAGTGCGAGGATGTGCGGATGCAGCTGAGTGTACGCTGAGCAAAAAGTGTCAATGTTGCAGTTTGCTGCTGCTGCTTGCGCTACGGATGCTGCTGCTGGGTCTGCCACTGTTGCAGCAACTGCTGCTGTGGCTTGAGAAGCTGCAGCTGCAAGGGCGGCAAGGAAGGCAACAAGACCCTCAAACAGATACTCCTCCTCCTGACGAGAGTCGTCATCCTGAGGGAAACCGTGAAAGGAGGGCACATACCGTGACGTAAGTACGGTCAGCAGAGACCTCAGCAGCAGCGGCAGCGGATGAGGCCCATATCAGCAAGGGAACCGTAACATACTTCATCGACATCTTGATTAAGCTGGCATATATGTTTGCCACGCAGCAAATTGCTGCACTGCAGCAATAGACTCTCCCGCTGCTCCGCGCTGTATATTGCCGCTGGCCCCACTCCCTCAAGAACCGTCCCCAACGCAGAAAATGCGTCACCCACTGTCTCCTTATCCACATCCTGCAGCGACACCCCCACTCGTGTAGCAAAGAAAAGGCTAACAGCATCATTGGGGCAGCACATGCACCAGCGGCTAGTATGAATAGGACAGACAGCAGCCAGCGTAATTGCAGCATTCATAAGTTCAGCAATACGAGCAGCAGCAGCGGGATTATTGATCCCAGTAGTCTTCGTTGCAAGTTGATACCTCGCTGATGATGGCAAAGAGAAGGGGGTACAGCTGGGTCTTCCACAACTGCAGCACGTGAGGCTGCATGCACTGGACGGTGCCTTGCGCCTGCTGCTGCGAATGCTGCTCCTGTGGGTTTGCCAGAGTCTTGTGGGCTGCCAACAGCACCGCAGCAATAAGGAAGCTGGCTTGCTGCCTTGCAGCGTCGTGGAAATGTGTTTTTAGGACTTCTATCGCCTCGCAGGTCCTGAGCAGGCACACCCAGAAAGCGCAAAAGAAGTCGCAAAGAGCATAAGCGCGTGGCAAGCAGGGCCCACTTTACGCACAGGACAATAACCGCAAGGTAAGATCGAGACACGCATACTATACGATGAGGCGGCAGAAAAAGAAACGTCAGTAATTCTGAACCACAAGCATAAGAGGAAGCGATGCAGCTGCAACGAAGGGGGTATGAAGAATAGAGAGGACAAACGCGAAGACTGCTTGAAGAGCAGGTACGCAACGCAACCGGCAGCAAGAGGCACAGCTGCAGACACGAGCCGTGCTGTGACCTTACTTTTGGAGATACTTCATGCAGTGACCTCCGCAGTTCTCCCACAAGGAACGCAAGCAGAAAGCCGCCGAGTCCAGCTCGTCAAGATAGCCTATATAGCAGCAAGCCAAGCAGTAGCAGCAGCAGTCTGCTGAGAAGCCCGTTTGCAGCATTAATAGCCACAACAGCACCTGCAAGTACATAGTTCGCTACGCCTGAGGCCGCAGCAGGACAGGCGCTATGCACTATGGGTCCAGAAATTAATCGGGTATGCCATGCAGAAAATACCGTCTCTAATTTGTAATTCCCTGCCTGCCCCAGTGCTCTCGTCTCCGCTGTCCCCCAAGTCAAAATCGCCAGGCTCCTCTGGGCTTGTGAAACCCTCGCTGCTGAACAGAGAGGCCAATACCCGCACCATTACGTCCTGCATCAAAGCGGAAATCGCAGCAAACAAGCCACCTCGCTAGCCCCCGGATCCCAGTGCTGTTGTTGGAGCTGCTGTTGCTTTTTGGCGTTCTAGGCGTTCTAACAAAGTACTTATCGCTGCAGGCACTCGATGAGCTGCTACTGATACTGCTGCTACTGCTGCTGCTGCTTCTGCCGCTAACGGTGGCGAACCTCAAGGAATGGTACAAATTCTTCCTTGAGCGCAGAAGAGACGTCTCGGAAGCAGGCAAAAGCTTCGTCCCTAATCTCGTGTGCAGACTCTTGCGCCGCCTCTCCCTGGCCCTCCCCGCCGTCGACCTGCTGCACCACGAGCTGCAACAGCTGTCGGAGCTGTTGCTGGTAGCACTGAGGAGATAAACCTTTTACCAGGCCCCCAATAACTCCGATTGCTCGGGCCTTAGTGGCTGGGGAGCATCCCGCTGCAGCCGTGCCTGCTCCTCCTGAATTGCCCCTTGGTACTGTCGGAGACCGTATAATATCTTCCAGCAATCGGAACAGATCGGCAGCATACGGGTCGAAAGGGCGGGGAGTCCCCTGGGGTCGTGCTTCGCCGTCATCCTCTTCGGCTACACTTGCAACAGCCGCAGAACGAATAGCGCTTAGGCAAACCTCTCGCACGCTATCGCTTGGGGCTGCAATAACATCAGCACATTCGATAGGGATAACCGCAATGGATAACACAACGTTTCGAGTTTGGACGCTATCCCTTCACCGTGGCTACTTGTGAAAATACGCAGCCAGGCCAAGAGACTGCTTGATCACCTCGCGCAGAAGAATCTGGTCAAGGCATGGAGCAGCTGCACTGACACGCGAGTCACAGCAGCTGCAAGAGCAACAGCCAGAAGTGCTCCTTACTTCTTTGGAGAGTATCAACAAGTTTCTGCACCACAGGACCGACAACTGGAGCGAGGTCATCAGGGCCCATGCTCTCTAACAGCACATCTAGGGCTAAGGAGCGCAATCCAGAGACAGCACACACACACACATACACACCATGAAATAATTGGCAGGCAAGGACAGGGAGCCGCCGGAAAGCGCCTGTAAAAGTGTGGCTTAGGCAATGCACCCAGAAGACACAGAGTAAAAGACGCGAAGGACTGAACTTCTTGGGCTCAGAGGGCAAGCTCATAAGCCTTACACCGTAGACTTACCGTAGCATGCCTTATGCTGTACTAAACGGTTAGGGTTGTCCAGCTGCTGCAGTAGCAACGGAAGCACCTGAGATTGATATTGCATGATCTCGGGCTGTAGGTACTCTGCAGCAGACACAGACACGACAGGAGCAACAACAGTACGCATAAAAGCCCTGTAAGCGCAACGGGAAGTAAAGCAGCATCGTCAGACGCGGCAGGAGGCAGCAAAACAACGCCATCCCGCTGATGTGCGCTAGCCAGTGGACAGCGGCTTAACTTCAGAACACAACTCAACATCCTGACTGACCAGCGAATTGTCCGAAGCACAGTGCTGCGGCTGCAGCAACGGCTGGGTGACTGTGTTGCAGCAGGGGAATGAGAAAGGGCATGAAGGCCTTCAGCTTCCCTCTCAGCGCAGCCTCACATCCCTCGCTCATGATGCCAATACAGGTAAGAGCTGCGCGCTGCTGCAGGACCTCTTGTTCTGGCGTTCGGGGAGCCGTGGGGTGTATGTACGCCTCTAGTCGCTGCAGGAGAGGCTTGCATATGTGTTTGTTGGGCAACGCCACAGCTATGGCATCCACCGTCTGGCACGCAAGTCTGTGGGGGTTCAGCTCCTCGTCTTCGTCATCCTCATCCTCTAACACGGCACAGCCCGGTTCGTCCGGCTGTGCGGCCATCTCCACCAGCACATCTAACAGCTTGGGCACAAAACCCCCTTTGCAGAGCACTGAGAACAGACGCACAAGGCAAATCAAAAACGGATTGCGGGGAGATCATCTCAGAAACGTCCTGGCGTCCGAGCAGAAAATTATAAAATTTGCCTATTCGGTGTAGCGGGAGGTAGTTCATATTGGCCATTTACACCATATTACGAGAAAACGCCGCTGCATCAAGCTCCTATACGGCTAGCTGCTCTATTCCAACTCCCTTCTGCGGAGCCCTTCGTCCGGCAGTCTGCGTGTTGGGTTCGAGACAAATGCACCCTGCCTCAATACCTCGGCAGTTTCTCTCTCTCTCTGCACTATAGCGATCTAAAATGCCTGTCGGCACTGCTCAGACAAGCGAAACTGTATGTCTCTAAACGGGGGCTTTACAAGAAAGAAACATGATGAGATCGTGCAGGAGGCGCTGTGGTGGGCCTTAGCCCTCCCCCCTCCCCGGTTTTTGCTTGGCTGCCCAGAGCAGGGGAGTAAAAAGGCCCTCTTTCTAGTATCCGCTTACACCTTCTACCCACCCAAATCCTTAACGTACTGCACTCTACAACCTCCCTCCTCCAGCCCTTCGTCTGCGTACCTCGAGGCTTCTGCTTGGCTGCCCAGTGTATGGGAGCGAGGGCCTGCTGCCTGACACCAACGTCCAGCGCAGGCCGTGCGGCAATTCCCAACAGAAAATGCAGCACCGAGAGAAGCTCCGACTCGGACAGCACCAAATCATTGCATAGCTGCACGGCGCACAGCAACAGGGCAAAGATGACAAGACCCCGCTCATGCACCCGAAAACACAGATAGCATGTGCGAAGCACCGCACGGCAAACACAAACAGACACAAATTCAAAAACAAAGGCAAATACAAACAAAACAGCGCTGCTGGGTGTGCAGAAGCGGTTACAGCCAAACAGCTTTCACCGGCACCCAACAAAGAGTCTTGCTGCGAAAAGATTCAATGCACACATTACGCCAAAGTGACCTGACCAGCAAAAGCCCACGACGGATGTACGAGCATGCAAAAACAAAAGCCCGTAGGCACGCCCCTACTAATCCACAATAAGAGAGGGAACCTTTATCCTCTTTGTACGATAACAGGGGGAGAGGTCGCGCAGGAAGATAAGCCAGAGAAACACAAACTTTCATCACAGACACGAAATACCCCACATCCCACAACCCACACACCCCACCCTTTCCCCCAACCCCAGTACCGACCAAGTCGTCAATAAGTTCCAAGGCCCCCATGGCTACACTCTCATCGCCTTCAGGCTGGAAGGCCTTCTCTATGACAGCGGTCACACCGGGAAGCAGAGCAAATAGCTGCACGACAAACACGCGCACACAGAAAGCTCTTAGCCCTATGCTGTATGCCAGCTGCACGCTACCCAGCCCACATATGAACTGCCATAGGTCCCACACATCAGCAGAGGCACCCCAATGCAGTCGCACTGCACACTTTGCAGCTCGACACCCCTCGAATCGAACCCCACAACTAATTTTCGGATCCCCCACTTTTGTCCTAAACACCAAACCCCATATAGAAGCGTGCTGCCGACCTTCTTTTGCTGAGAAGGCTCCACGGCGTCTTCCGCAAGGCCTCTAAGACCCTCGAGTGCCGGGCCGGCTAGGGCTGGGTTGTTGTTGCTGATGGTCAGAGCTGAAAGCACACCGAAAACGAATCTGCCCCTTTTCTTGCAGTGTCATACCGCGAAAAGTCTCTATTTAAAACACACGGGTTATCAGCCCAAACGCTGTATTGCGGCATCACAGAGAGAGACGCTTACACTTCAGAAACACACGGGTTATCAGCTCAAACGCTGTATTGCGGCATCACAGGGAGAGACGCTTACACTTCAGAAACACACGTACCTTGCTGGAAGATGTGGAGCAACTCATCAAAGAAGGTCTCAGTGCCATCTCCGCTCTCGACATACGCTGCAAAGACTTCCACTGCTGCCACCTGCAGTTGCGGCTGCTGCTGCTCTAGAATGGGAGCAGCCAGTAGCTGCAGCACATGCTTAGTTTTCGCCTCGTCGAATTGCGGGAGCCGCAGCAGAGCAGCCAGCAGATGACCTAATGAATGGCGTACGGGCTTTGAAGGCTCGCAGCCAAGGCGCCCCACCAGAGACTCCGTGAACTCGGACTGCAGAAGCAGACAGCACAAGAATTTACGGACTCTGGAAGGAAGAAAATCAAAGAAGGGAGAGGGGGCCCCCTGTCCCAGCCAGGCGTGGCTGTAATTTGTACGAAATCGTAAAAGGAAGGACCTCAAAACACGTAAACGACCGCCCTAAATCCTCCGAGTACCTGTTGGTTAGGCTGCAGAGAGCTAAAAAATTTTGCGGCCTTGCGTCTCAGTAGGACAGCGGCAAGTTGTCTCGTCTCCTCCTTCTCTCCTCTGAGAACCTCTTCTGCTAAGAGCAGGTACACAGCCGGCTGCTGCTGCTGCTGCAACAGCTGACGCAACTGCTCGGTTGCTGCCTTTGCCTTGGAAGGGTCCAGGGCAGCTTGAAGCAGCTCACGCAGCTGCTGCTGCTCCTGTGCTGTCTCTGCCATGATCCTTAAACTCAAAGCCTACAACTCCTCGATCGCGAAACGCGTCTTCTATTGCAGGCCTGGTCCAAAGCCCCTGAAATCCGCACAATTCCCGTTGAACTGTTTTTCGTCTAAATCCGTTTACAATTATGAAGCAAGTGGACTAAGGGTGGCAGAAAAGCAAGCAGAAGCACAGGGGCCTAGATGCCCCCTGGCAGCGGCGATTTGCGGTGCTCGGGCAGCTCCGGGGAGTCACCCCACAAAAAGGCGGAATAAAGGCAAGGCCATAAAAATCAGCACAGTCTTGCTGCATCCTAATTGAAGCCAAACCGACAAGGGGAAACGCATGTAGCACTGGCACCAGTAGACTGCGGGGAGCGGCCCCACGTACCCAGGGCCCCCCAGTGTCCGCTTTGCTTTAGTGTTTTTGAGGACAAGGTTTATTGATTGGAGCAGATGCTCTCGATGAAGAATGTGTTTGCAGCAAGAAAAACAAGCCAGCAGCGGCAGGCTCAGTAGACACCAAATGCAAAGCACGAAGACAGTTCATGCTGGTCCAGACACCGTTGATCCTCTGCTATAGCCGTAAAGTTATCCCTCCTGATCGCGGACGGGGAACACGCAAGCAATGTCGATATCCTAGCACAGCGCAAGACCTAGAAGGCTTTGGCCCTTTGTCTTCCCCTGTGGCGGTGCTTCAGGGGGGCAGGCATTTTCGGGGTTGCCTGTCCGCAAAATAAACAAAGACCAGCCTGCCACCATAGGACAATGCCACAAGTATTATCTGTACTGCAAACACTCTAGTTTACCCGCTTCTGTCGCTGCTCCTGGCTTTTAGTGACTTCCTGCCCCCCAAACCTCCATCCTAATAATTTGATGCGCCGTTAGGTGTAGTTCATGTCGTACTACGGTAGGTCACTATGTGTGCCCGACAAGATACTATCTAGCTATAGCAACGCCCAAGGGGGCACATTATGTATTGCCGTATGAGCGTCTATGCGTCCATGTTTACAACTGCGCTACACAGTGGCAATTCCCACTCCTCTGTGTATACACACCTAAGAATTAGCAAACAACTCACAAACTATCTGCTGGTTCATAATCTTCGCTGCACGGAATTAGAGTTAGCTCGAAACAAGACATAATGTGTTGGGTGGGTAGGCGTTCGGCGCATGCTGCAGCCAGCAGCGAATTGTCTGAGTATTATAAACACGGTGCAGCTACCCATATGCCAGCTGTCCCTCTCCTCTAGTGAGAATCTGAAAAGCGAGGGCAAGGAAAAGGATCAGCTTCTTTCGGGGAAAACTTAGTAACTTTCTATTGAGTGTCCTTGGAGTGTAGGGGTCAAAGTGTCTGCTGACGACGATATTCAGTGAAACGCCACCAACAACTGCACCAACAGACCAAATGTAACGTGGCATATGTACTACCCCTTTAAGACTAACGAAACTAAGCTCGACTAGAAATATCCTACACCTGCTGTTTCCTTCCCGTGGTCTATTCCATTTTACGCATGTCGAAAGCACTGCGCCACAGCCGCGGTTCCTGTGAATACTGCCATGGGTAAATCAGAGTGTAGAGTGTGCCCTGCTACTCTTGCCTTCGGTTTTCATTACTAAGCAGCGATGTCTCGTCTGTACAGTACGGGCTGCAGCTACCGCTTCACGACCCTAATACGCCTGCTGCAACGTATAATGTAGAACTACTCCCCAATGCAGCATCACCCGTAACAACAGCTGTGGGGGGGCAGCCTGCCGCCTCACATTTGCAGCCATAACGGCATATCATGCAGGCTGCTGTTGCTGCTGTAGTTCCGCAGCTCGTTTTACTGCAGCCCGCTGGAGGCGGCGGTGCAGCTCTGCTTTCTTTCTTTCCCTGCGTAGCCGGATCTTGAACTGGTGTCTCTCATCGTGTATCCTGCAGACAGCAACGCACACGAGTTACCAGGCACTAATCTACCAGATCCACAAAGTAGCAGGCAGAAAGCAGCCACAACAGCGGGTGTCCTCACTTGTAGGCATCCTTGCTGCGAGACCAAGTCTGGAGTTCTTCAGGAAGAGGGTCTTTGTGGAGCCACCGATCTATTTGCTTCTGCGTCTCACTATGGACACACAGCAAGGCTGCCAGCAGCGCAGTCATATTGCAGCCTACTAAAAGACAGATGCAAAATGCAGTAGCCTTGAAACCACCGACCAAGCCAGCAGCGACAATACAGCACACAGCCGGGGCCTACTCTGGCAGTCGTGGTTTTCCCTCTCTCCAGTGTACAGACAACTCAGCTTCCAGCTTTCCATGCAGCAATCTGCTTCCTCTCTTGAGCAATACATCAATATGCTCCGGGGCAACCAGGCGAGGAGCGAGCAGCAGCTGCTGCTGTTCGCGTGCTGCTTCTACTGAAGCTGTAACGGGAGCAGCACCACTCTCTGTCTCCCGATCAGAATCTGCGGCGCAGAGAAAAAAGCAGCACGAGCAGTACTAACAGAGCAGCGGTTACACGAGAAATTGGTTGCTTTGTGTCTTTCTGCAGCACGACCAGTAGCTTTTGTCATTGCATGCTAACGATGAGGTTCCCGCTACTGCTGCGGCTTCGTACTGGGCAGTATCAAAAAGAATTCATTAAAGGGCTCTGCCTCTAGAAAAGCCCGCCACGATTCGAAGACGAGGGCCACACAGCTTTGGGCATCGCGCCACGCCCTTCGAGTGTAGGGGACTGAGCGATCTTCACAGAATCCACGAACTAAAGCCGTACGCCGTAGACTGGACAAAGACAGCGGGCGGCCTTCTTGCAGCAAAGAGAGGTACATTTGTCTGGAAAAACAGGAAACAGAAGACAGGAGAACAAGTAGACAATGGAGGAGGACGGTTCTGGTTGACAAGAGCGAAAGAAGGATAACAGCTGCAAATGCAAGCTTCAGTGCAATAGCAGAACATCCTCTGGCCACTGGTTCGAACGGGCGGGAGAAGGGTAGGAGAAGGGCACACGGCGGTCCAAGAAGAAAGCGCAAAATTTAACAAAGGAAATAACTGACCTCGCAAGAAAGAGGAGGCTTCTGTTTGCATGGAGTTTACGATGTATGTAAAGATCATCGCTGCAACGGCCTGTTGCCAGATGCCGGAGCCGCAAAACTTTGAAATGAAGGGAGGCAGGAAGTCGGACAGGGAGGCGAACAGCATGCAACGCATGGAGGCGACTGCATAGAAAAGCGGCAGGCAGGCAGGCGAAGAAGCACACGGCAATTAGACGAAGCAGAGCTCCTGCAAAGACAAGGAAATGGGGATGAGACTTCGCGACGAATGGAAGAGGGGATGCAGATACCGGCAGAAAAGAGAAAGCAGGGCAGCCGGAGGTGGAGGCAAGCACACAAAGAGCTATTGCAAGAGGCAGATAAACGGAAAGCGAGTGATCATACTAAGGAAGGACGGAGGCTGCGTATCGATAGGAGGATTTGGGGAGGCAGAGGCAGTCCGCGCCACACAGAGCAAAATAACGATACGTTAACTCTGGGGCAGATACAACAAAGAGAGCTCGAGCCAAGGAACAAAGGCGATACGTGAGGCAAGACCAGCAGTAGAGGAGCGTGGACCTCGCCAAGAAGTCGAGGGAGAGTAGCGGTGTCTAGCCACTCGCAGCATGGTGTAAAAAGTAATGAAAACATGACCAAAGGGCAGCCCTAATACGCTTCTGCTTCGTAAGTGGAACAGCCCAACCCTCCGCAGCCTCCTAGGAGACACGAGTAACCGAGACTGTAGAAAAGGCTTTAGACAAGGAGAAGAGCACGGAAGGGCAACGGAGAGTATAGCCAAAGACAGCAACGCATGCAGGTGCAGTTGAGGAAGGCGGAGGTGTGGAGACCACAAACGGTGGCGTTTGAAAGGGTAGGTACCGCGGCACAAAGAGGAACGGGCAGACACCAGAGGAATTGCGGAGCGAAGGAAGAGACTGGCCTTCGAAGGCCTCGAGTGTTTTTTTCTGACTTTTCAAATGCCACAAAGGCCTTGCCATTTGTTTGGTAAGGATCCAGTTTATGAGGCAGCACGTGAACAGACTTCACCCTGCCAAACCGAGAAAAATAGCGCCACAAACGCTCCTGTAGAAACTCAGGCGTCCGGCCCATAGGCAGCCCCTCCACGAGAACCGTCTCAGGGCCGTAGACGGAGAGAGGCTCGTAGCTGAGAAAATGAAAAGGACAAATCGGCCTCAAGCGAGTAAGCTCCGAGAGAAATGATGAAGCCGTTTTTTACATGGCTTTGCACAATGCCGCTACCAACGGTGTCTTGTACTACAGAAGCGCCTTCCTGCCAACCCCCCGTCAATCTGCATTTGTAGTGCTGTGCCTCGCTCGTGTTATTTGTCCTCCTTCGCCCAACATGCCACCCCTGCCTCATCCAACATCCCCAAACTAAGGCCACGGAACGCCCGTTTCATAGCCGCTGCCAGAGCGGCTCCAATAGACGAGAAAAATCCCCAGCGTCTCTCACAAAAGACCCTCTTGAGGACTTTTAGGCCCCTTCTAAGCCTTGAAATCGCCTCACACCACAGGCCTGTCTTACCCAGATTCGGGGGCCTCATAGAGCCAGTTTATAGGCTCGCCCGTTTCTGGTGACCTTAAGGGCCTCCGCACCCATTCCCTCCAATCTGTTGCTGCTGCCGCTGCTGCTGCTGCTTCCGCGGCTTCTCGGGGGGGCTGATACGGCCAGCGCATTCGGCTGGCGCCCGGTACATGACGCATACGGGGATCAGACAGACTTAGAATACCCCTGCTTAGAAAGCTCCAAATCAAGGGCTTGCTGTAGCTGCTGGAGGACGGGAGGCCGTTGCTGCTGCAGCGCAAGCCAACCGGCACAAGCGCCCTCGGGGAGCACAGCGTGAGTGGCCTCTGATGAGCCCACATTGCTCTGCATCCATGCAGGAGGTGACTCCAAGGTAGAGGATGTCGCTTCTGTGTCGGTTTTTGCTCTTCCTCTACGTCCTGTTCCTGCCCCTCTCCTACTACGAATACATTCACACCGTCGGTATTGTT